TCTGCAGACCTTCCTGGCTGTCACAGCCGGAGCTGGGAGACCTCCTGGCACCCAGTGGGGACACTTGCGAACTATAGGATGACCCAGCAGCAAAGAATTCCCCAGCGAAAAGTGTCTGTGGGGAGACGCTGCCGCACAGCAGTGAGCGCTAAGAGTTGGGTGTCATCGACACTCTGGCTGACTCCTGTGTTGGACATCCAACAGAGGTACTGGACCTGGGACAGTGACCAGGTTGGCCTCACCCTGCCCTTCCTGGGGGTCTCTCTGCACGGCCCCTCCAGTCGCCCTTGCTTTCTCAGCCCCTCCTGCCCTGCTCCATTTTTATACGTGGTCCTACAGACCAGGGTGGGGGTGACCTTTGGGAGGAGATTCTGCTGCCCCTTGTGCATCCCAGAGCCTCAGCTGCGGTCCCTGCCCTTGTTATTTTCCATCTGGCACCAGCGTCTTCCCCATCTTGCCCCTCACCCCCTCCCCCGCATCTGCACATGCATGCCCCCTCCCCCTCTGCCCCCCATGGCAGCTCAGGTTGCTCCCTTCCTGCAGAGTAGCTGTCATTTCCAAGTGACACTCCCCCCCCACCCCCAACCTAGTGGTGGGAGTCAGTGGCTGGTGATCAGGGCAGGGATGGGCCATTTAAATCAAAACACCCTGTGGATATTCCCCAGAAACCGTGAGGCACCCGTGACTCATAAAAACCCTTGTAGAATTAGCTGGAACTGGAGATGATATTTGGGAACCTTAAAAAAAATCTTTTTTTAAGAGGAAAGTTTCTCCTCTGATCCCAGGCTCATCATGAAAAGCAACATTCTCTAGATAAAAGGACCCACAGAGCCAACTTCACGGCATCAATACTGCGCAGCTGGGCACGGCTTGATCCACCTCTCAGTTTTCTTCAAATGGACATTTTCTTTCTAATTCTGCGCGATGCATGTCCACTGCAGAGCGTGTGAGGCATTGTTTCAAAGTTAAAACTGAGATTCGGGTGGCTATTGTTTACACCTCACTCATTTTTAGACAACATCTATTTTGAACATTTTTGCATGTCATTATTCTTCAACATCATATTCCTGGTGGTCACACCAATGTCCCCTGTGTGGCCGAGCCATGGGTTATTCGACCTCTGCCTTGCCTCTGGCCATCCGTGGCTGCACCCTGTGTTCTCACCTGTGAAAGGGGCACAGGTGTGCTCTGAATGCAGCAGGACAGCCCACCTGTGCCCTCCTGTGGTCGCTCAGGTGACAGGTCCTTAATGCACCTGCAGGTCTGAGTTGGAGCAGGACTCGAAGCCCTCCCCGGGGAGGGCCCAGCGGGCTGCAGACTGTAGACTCCGCCAGGGGAAGGCAGTCTCGTCTCCAGAGCGGCCTCCCCAGGCTGCTCAGGCCTCGTGTCTAAACGCACATTCCTCATCCTGGGCTGTTTTTCTTTCATGCTAAACCAAAGGGGTTATTTTGGAAACTCCTATAAGCAAATGAAGCCCTGGCTGGCATTTGAGCGGATGTGAAAGGGCCCTAAGTGAGGGGCTCAGGCATAAAAGCCGCCCAGCCCTGGGAGCCCAGCCGTTAAATTTAGAAGCCTTACCTCCAAATGAGGTGAAATTGCAGGTTCCCTTGGCGGGTGGGTGGCTTTGGCCAGCAGTGAGCGGGACAGATTTAGTGGAGTCGGCTCTGGCTCCCTCCAGCCACACCTTGGGGGAGGCGGCCCTGGGCAGCGCCCAGTGTCTGGGGAGCAGCTGGCTGTGTGCAAAGCCCCTTCAGCTGCCAGTCTTCCCTGTGCCCACCAGCTGCACCCCAGTGGCATTGCCAGTGAGCTCTGCCCTGGTTGCCAGGCCAGAGAGAGACAGCGAGGGACACTCGGAGAGAGGCAGCCTGGCCTGCCACCAAAGGTTTGGAACCTGCACAGCTTCTGGGCCTCTCGCCTCTCCTAGGGCGCAGCAAGGTCTCTGGCTTGGGAAGGTCCCAGGCCTTCCCACAACCCAGCAGCTAAATGGTTAATGCCAGCCACAGCAGGAGAGGTGGGAGGAGGGGGCGTGCAGGCGAGTGAGTCCCCCGGGTTCCTGGCCTCTGTTCTCTGTGGTCAGAGCCCCTGTCCTGTGTCAGTGATTAAACAGGAATATAACCCAGAGCTGAAGGCAATCAGCCTTCATGGGGGCTGGATAGGAGCTGCCCACTGAGGGCACCTGAGATTCCAGGGGTCTCCGCTAGGCTCCTGGAAACATTGATTTGTTGTTCCACTTATTGGTGCATTCATTGGTTGCTGCTTGTATGGGCCCTGACTGGGGATCGAACCCACAACCCTGGGGTATCAGGAGGACGATGCCCCCACAAATCAAGCTACCGGCCGGTGCACCGAGTGGAAATGCTTACTTTTTAAACCCCCACCGTTATTCGTGCTCTGCCTACACCTGGAGCTGCACAGCCAGGTGAAGTGGGGGAGGCGGCCTCTGCCTTTTGGTCACTGTCCTCTGTCCCCATAAAGGTGTGTTTCAAATCTTCCCCTGTCCTGGGCTGGTTCCAGGTCCCCACCGCTGACCTTGGTGGGCAGAGGGGAGGGAGGGCCAAGCTGTCTGAGAAGGTTTATCCAGAGCGGGAGTGGACTGTGGCGAGGACAGGAGGTACTGGTGCGGGTTTACTAATCAGCAGGGAAAAAGCCTAATTTGTAGTGCTTGCTGATGTTGTGGTGCCAGTATTCCTACCATGGCTGCTCTCATGCTACCAAAACTCCTGCAAAGGTAACAATAGACTCTACAGCGCAGGTGGGGGCTGTGGGGACCTCCCTGCAGGGCTGGGGCACATCCCAGGGTCCGGGACACCTGACCTGGAACACAGACAAGGGCCGGCCTTTCTCAATCGGGTGTTGCCCCTTTAGAGCTGGGTCCCTGAGCCAACCCTGTCCCCTCTCTGAGCCTCGGTTTCTTCATCTGTTGTTGAATTAGGTTTGCAGCAGCACCTTGGCCTAAGGGGGAGATGCAGATTTAATAGGATAATTTACATAAGGCATTTAGCCAGGGCTGGCAAAATAATGATCCCTCAGTAAACGATGCTTCCATCAGCAGATTGCCTCAGCCTCCCCATCTGTACACAGTGCTGTTCTGCTGTCCGTGGACTCACAGCAGGTGTCAGTCCCTGGAGCTGGGGCTTGCCGCACCGTGGGTGCTCAGCACACGTTCACCAGCCTCCCCCATCAGGGCTGGAAGTCCCCCACAGGCTGTTCCGTCTCGGCCCCTCACCTCTGGGGCAGGGGTCTTGGTCAGAGCAACGGCCCAGAGACCCAGCCGGCTCTTTCCGAGGGTCTCCTGCACTGTGGGATCTCAGATCATTGGCCCCTCGGCCCTTTTATAACTGTGATCGCTCAAGCCCAGAGCGTGTGGGCGGCAGAGTCACAGACAGGATCTGAGCCTGGGTCTGGCTTTTCCGCTTTGTGTCCCCTGTGGGGCGGAGTGGGGGCTGCACAGGAGGAGGGTGGACTTGTGGGGGCTGCATTGATCTGCTGGATTCAGAGTGAGGGCCTTGTAGCCCCTGGCAAGGACTGACACACAAGAGGCAGGACTGGCTGGGGTGGCTCAGTAGATTGAGCACCGGCCTGCAAACCAAAGGGTTGCTGGTTCAATTCCCAGTCAGGGCACATGCCTGGGCCAGGTTTCTGGTAGGAGGCACAAGAGAGGCAACCACACACTGATGTTTATCTCCCTCTTTCTCCCTCCTTTCCTCTCTCCACAAAAAAAAAGAGAGAGAGAGAGAGAGAGAGAGATGGGCACTAAAAAGAAATGTCTCGACAGGCAAAATTATTCCAGGCCAAGGCCCCACCTGAGCAGAGCTCAGAGGTGTGGAGACTGGACCGAGCTGGGGGTGAAGGGGACCTGGAAGCTAGGGCCTCAGCAGCAGGAATGTGAGGGAGTCTGTGGGGCGGGGCTTTTCTGTAGGTTTGGCCTGACCCCGCCCTGCCTGAGGAGGAAGATATGAAACCGTAGCAGCAGAGATGTAGGTTAGATAGGGAGGCCAGCTTTCCGATGGTCCCTGCTGGAAGACAGCGGGCGACGGTCCCCAGGGATGTGCTGGCGTTTCTCCAGTCTAGGGGTGGTTTGGAAAAAAGAGAAGACAGCTGGCCTTCTAGGCTGGCCTCGCTGCAGCCTGGGTCAGACACGGGGCGATGGAAGCCTCTGAGGCCGGCAGGCGGCCTCCTGTGAATTAGGCTTTGTCACCCCTGCTCGAAACCCTCCGGTGGCTCCCAGACACCCTGGCCCAGGCGTGAGGCCGAAGTCCTCCCTGGGGCTACCGAGGCCTTCATGACCTGGCTGTGTGGGCCTCTCCCAACGCCCCCAAATCACACCACATCATTTGCACCTCCAGGCCATTACCATGCGGTTCCCTCGGCTCAGACACTCTCCCCTCCCTCCCCTGCCCCTTCTCTCCCCCTCAGCCTTTCCTTCTTTGCTCCTGGTTGCCTCCTCCATGGCTGGGTCAAGGACCCCCAGGTTCCCCCTCCACTTCCCTATCGCCTCCCTACTGTACCTGTCCACTGGCTCATTGGCCTCCCTGCAGGACTGGGAGCCCTGGAGGGCAAGACCTCTGCCTGTCTTACTCAGTGTGTGTCTCCAGCACCATGTCTGGCACACAGTAGGTGCTCAGCGGGGATTTGTGGAAGGGGTGAGGGTTACCAGCAGAGAGGAGCAGCAGAGAGGAGGGGCGATGAGCTGGGTCCAGGAGGCGCTGTCCCCCCCCCCATCAGCCCCCCACCCCTGCAGGAGGAGGCAGCGGTGCTCAGGCATCTGGAGCCTGCGCACAGAGCATGGAGACCTGGGTTTGAAGCTTGCTCCTGCAGCTCCTTCCAAGCAGGTTCCCTAACCTCACTGAGCCTCAGTGTTTCCTCCGTGATCTGGGGACAGTACCAGCTGCCCCCTCTCTGTTGTGAGGACCCTGGAGGCCATGGTGGAGGACGGCCAGCCCCCGGTCAGCTCTCACCAGGTGGTGTGCAAGGCTGACTCTCCTGTCCTCTCCCTGTAGGTGACAGCCATGTCGGTGAGGGTGCGGTTCCTGTCCTCCGGGGACACGGGGGCCGTGGGCGTCGTGGGCCGGAGCGCCTCCTTTGCAGGCTTCAGCAGCGCACAGAGCCGCAGGATTGCGTAAGTTCTGCCGGTGCGGTGGGTGGGGGGCTCCTTCCAGGGCTGGGCGGGGACGACAGGGACATCGTCTTCCCTCTGCCAGTGACCCAAGGCTCACTCTCATGCCAGGCCTACTTTCCAGGAGAGAGTGTGTGGCATGTGGTGCGTGGTGTGCGCGTGAGAGAGAGCGTCTCGGCGCCGGGAGAAACCTACTGGGCCCACTTGGCAGAGCGGAAGACTGAGGCCCAGAGAGGTGGAGCCGCCCCCCAAGTCACATGGCCTGGCCTGACTGATTCAGAGTCGGAACTTAGCTCTGGGGGCGGGGTTAGGTTGGAATGTGCTTCCTGTTTGGGAAAATGGAAAATGGGGCCACCTCTCCCCCCTCTGTGACCTGGGGCAAGTGACTTCACCTCTGAGTCTCAGTTTCCTCATGTGTGAAACGAGGATCACAAATGTCCCTCCCTCTCACGGGGTTGTCATGAGGGCAGCATGAGGTGACACCTGGCTGGCAGCCAGCACACGCTGGCTCACAGCAGGTGCTTGTGGGCAGTTTCAAAGGGGGAGGAGCAGCTTCTGGGGGGACAGAGACGGGCCTGCGGTCAGTGCTGACCCTCTGGACGAGAGTTCATGGCCGCTCCGCCAGGTGTCTCCTCCAGCTGCAGGCAATCCCCTGGGGGATGGTCTGTGTCTGCTTTGCGGGCCACTGCCCGGGCCCAAGCCCGCCTGGGCCCCCGTTCCAGGGCTGTGTGCTTCACTGCGTGGACCTCTCTCCCCTCCCGGCCTTTGTGCAGGTGTACCCGCCCCCCAGAACTCTCCACTCTTCACCCGGCCAGTTCCCGCGTAATCTGCTTCACTGCCCTGTCCCCCCCTGGACCAGGCCCTCACCCTCCCATTGCACGTTCCCTCGGTTTAACAGGTGCTCCTTAGACCCCTACGATGCCCAACCTCACAGTCGGGCCCTCCCAGCTCACTTACCTTGGCCCTGGGCTGCTCAGCTTTGAGGTGTGCCTGGAAGTGTCTCAAGGCTGAAATCCTGGGGTGCCCCAGCAGGAGGCGCCCTTAGGAGTTCCCAATTCATTCCACAAATATGTGCGGAGCACACACTCTGGCCGGCCCTAGGCCCAGGCCCCGGGGAAAGGCCCAGCCCCGCCCTCCTCCAGGGCAGCAAACAACAAGCCAATCATCACCAAGAGGGACGCAGCTGGGGCCAGTGCAGGGCGGAACTGAGCAGGCAGTGCAGGAGGGCTGCGCGGAGGAGGCCCCTGACCCCAGCCTCCCAGGAGAGAAAGTGTGGCGCCACCGTGAGGAGGCACGCAGTAGGCCTCCCTAAACACGGCTGAGAGGTTAAGCGGAAACTGACTGGGGGAGGATGCTGCTTCTCGCCTGATGAACTAAGTCTCAGTTGTCTCTTCCTGGGCTTTGTCCGGGTCCCCCATCCCATGGTCTGTGATCGGGGCTGGTACGCAGTGACCCTCCCAAGCTATGTGCCCTGGCATGGTGATGGTCCCCTCCAGAGGTGCCGTGGGGACTCTGTCCTGTGACCTGGCAACAGGGAGGGCCCGCAGACTGGCACGGGGCCCCTCGAGGAGATTTAACCCTCTGCTGTCACCATGTAGAACTTCTTTAAGTGTTAAGCAGAGGACTCTGGGCTGTCTTGTGCTCTGGGCCCCCTGAATTCTGTGGCTGGTCCTGCCCTCACCTCCCCTCCTGTCAGGCCTTTCGGGGCCTCTGGGCTTCCCGCATCCGTGGGAAATGTCCCCTCAGGCCCCATGGGGGACTCTGGCCAGAGAGTGCCCCCAAGTGGGCCCCCGACCTCTTGCTGACCCCTCCTAGTTCCTGGGGTCAGCCCTCTGGGAGGGAGAGAATAGACGGGGTCCGACCCCAGACACTAGGGCTCATCAGTCAGCAGCAGGGAGGCAGCGTCTGCACTCTAGTCCAAGAACTCGGCCCCCATGGCTGTAAAGGTCCTGGGGGCTCCCTCTCCTGGGGGTCCGTCCCCCCTTCGGGGATTTCCGGGGGATGCCCGGCCTCGGGGGGATGCCTGGCCCCGACTGGTTCTGCAGTCCCTGCGTGGCACGACCTGGCCTCAGCCTCTGCAGTCCCCTCGCCCCTGAGTGAGGAAGGAGCTGCCTGCAACGATAGGGAAGAAGCACGTCTGTTTGTAATGTCTGTCTCTGTCCAGCCCCCAGGGGTCTGGACCCTTGGCTCCAGGGCCTGACGACCTGGATTGGGTTTCAGGCTTCACCTCTGGCCTTATTTCTCAGGTAATTCAACCAGGCGGAAACTCAGCCCCACTGCCAAGCACTAGCGGCTGGTGCGGGTCAGGCAAAATAAGCTTAAACGCAGAGCTTAGATGGGTGGGTGGATGGCCCCTTGGTCCCCTGTCCTACCCCTGCTCTGGCACCTGAAACCCCTTTGACACTGGACCCGGCTTTTTATTCCATAATCAAAGAATTCACTTGGGGAAGTCACCTGGTAGGGGAACTTTACACTAAGGTGTGAATGGTTGCTCTAAGGAAGCCATATATAATAAGGCAGGGACAAGAGGAGGCCAGGCCCCAACACTGTCCCATTCTGCCCTGACTGACAGGCATGGCTGCTCTTACCCGCTTCCTGCCACTCCTCAGCCAGGTGTCCCCTCCCCTAGGCTGTCAGGCAGGTGCCCTCCTGAGCCAGGAGCCCCTGCAGAGTCCAGCCAGGGAGGGGGACGGAGAACTCAGTGGCAGCCCCTGATTACTCAGCAGAGGAGGTTGGAGAGAAAGCTCACAGTGGAGGTGCCCACACTGTCCTGTGCTTGTGGAGACACAGACTCTGGGGACCCCAGAGAGCACGTCAGAGAAATGGGCTGGTGCACGCCGAGCAGAGTTTGACCTTTGTGAGGGTCGAGTGCATGTTTCCCATCGGCCTGCCCTTTTACTACCGCTGGACACAGGAGGAAAGGTTAGCTGACGCTGTTGTCACACCGAGGTACAGGCTGGAGCCCTGCAGCGGCCCCGGACCAGGACCTCCGAGGGAGTCTCCCCACGACGCCAGGCAGGAGGACTGCCCCCGTGGCCTCACGTGAGGGCCGGGCCAGCGGGTTGCATGTGCCTGTCTGGAATCTTGTCTGGCCTGCCAGGGGCTGTTGAATATTTACTGAGTCCTCCCCCAGCTGGTGAAACACCCGCCCCAGAGGGCGCTCCCGGCATGGCTGTTGTGACCCGGGACCAGCCTGCGGCCTGATTTCACCGTCCAGAGGCTGCCCTCGCGTCTCCTTCCTCGGCTGGGCCATCCCCCAGAGCGGCCGCCACCCCTGCCCTGTGGACGCTCAGACAAGAGCACTGGGCTCAGAGCTTCCCCGGGAGCGGCAGCTTCCAGGTGCAGCCACAGCAGCCAGGTCTCCAGGTAGATGGAAGGGGGGCCTGGCCAAGGACACACACCTGCCGGTGATGGTGGGCCCCTGGCAGCCGGCAGGTGAGCATGGCTCCCACCTCACAGCTGTTCGCCCACCCCGCCGGCCCGCCGGCCCACCTGCTGGGGACCCTCGCCTTTCCTGCCCCTCTCTGCTGGCCCCACGATGGCACCTTTGTGGAGGGTCTATTCCAAGAGGTGGGTGAGGCAGCCTCAGGGAGGGTGAGGGAGGAGGGTGAACAGCCCCTTCTTGGCCTTTGGAAACTGTCACTTGTTGCATGTAATGCATGAATGACGGCCATGGCAGCGCAGGAAGAGCTCTGGTGACGTAAGCTCCCTGCTCAAACCCATCATCCTGCCTTTACCTTTTTCCTGACTACTATGCACTCTCTGATGGATGATGTTTAAAAACGTATCTCAACTTCGATACATACAGCGTTTACCCTTTCCCCACACTGTTGAAGCCCTTTACATTTCCGACCTCATGTGAGTGAATCTCACGGCAAAGCTGCCTGCGGCTGCCATTTCACAGATGAAAGAATGGAGGCACAGAGAGGTTCAATGATTTTGCCCAGGGTCACACAGCGTATAAGTAAGGGAGCTGGAGAGACAGCCTGGTGCCTGGCACTTCCCAGGGTCTCCCCCAGCTGGCTCAGCAGCTCACAGGGGAGGGGTCTTGCCTGTTTCGGTCACAATTGTTCCCCCATCCCCCAAAATGGTGTCTGGTGCACAGTAGGTGCTTATTCAGATATTTGTTGAATGAATACCTCATAATGCTGCAGGGCAAGCACTCTTATCATCCTCCTTCAACAGGTGGGGAAACTGAGGCTCCAGTTAACAACCTGTGACCTCTGGGGCTGGGATTTGAACATGGGCAGCTGACCAGAAGCTTGTGTCCAACCTACTTGGCCAGTCCACCGGGGGGCCAGGGTGCGATTCCAGGCCCTCCCTTGCTGCAGCAGCCTCGAGACCAGGGCAGCCTCTGACGTGGCGGTGCGGCCGTGGAGGGGAGCCGTGGGTCGTGGGGCCTGCCAGCAGGGTGGCCAGGACGACTCCTCTCTGTCATGCCCACCGCGGTGTCTGCATCTCTGTGTGGAAGGTGCAGCATCTGCCTGGGCTGGAAATTCAGCCAGGCCGTTTGCTGGGTCTCTGGGGACCAGGGCATGCTGGTGGCCCAGGGGCCCTTCTCTGAGACCCGCTGAAGGAGCAGGAGCTGTGTCCCCCTGGCCCCCTCCGCCCCCACCTGGCTCTCCTGACTGCAGTCCCCCACCCCCCGTGGACTGTGAGCCCTGGAGGGTGGGATGCCGGCCGCTTGGCCTTCTTCGAGGTGCCTGACCTGGGGAGAGCCGCGCTCTGTGAGTGTTTGAATGAATGAACTGGTCCCTGTCCCTGATTTTAGACACTAAAAATGCAGCAGGCAGACTGCGGAAGCTCCCAGGGAGGTGTGGGGCTGGGTTTCTAGTGATAGGATGCCCCTCGGGTAAAGCAGAAATGGTGACTCCCCTACAACCATGCTGCTCAGAGTGTGGTCCCCAAACCAGCAGCGCTGCCAGCGCCTGGCACCACATTAAAATGCAAGTTCTCAGGCCCCACCTTAGACTGACGAATGGGAAACTCTGGTGGGGTGGGGGGGTGGTCAGCAGCCTGGCTCTAAGTCCTCCTGGTGACTCAGAGGGCCCTGGGAATCCTGCCCTGCTCCCAGCTGCCTGGTTAAGGTCCCAGCTGAGGCTCTGCACACGTGTGGTCTGGGTCTCAGCTCTGCCACAGGGTCACTGGCCAGAATTGGTCCCCATTGCCTCTCCCTGGGCCAGGGGAGCGATGTATATTGACTAACCCAGGTCTGGAGCATGGGTTTGCCTCAGAATGCCTGTGTGTGCAAATGTGTGCATGCATGTGCCTGTGTGTGAGTGGTGATCTGTTAAGCCACCCCCCTCCAAACCACATGTATAAATATCGGGGCTGAAGAGGTCCCCCAGAGGAAAATCAAGGCACTATTTTTCTCAAGAGGTGGATGGATGCTGGGCAGGCAAAGCCAATAGGTGCCCGCCCCCTATGGGTGCTCCACAGGGCTATGATTTGGCCTCCCATGTTGCTTTGCCTGCATTGCCAAAGCATGCTGAACAGAGAGCACTGGCATTTGGGCTGCTTGACTGTGTTTCTCAGTGTAAGCTAATTTCTCATATCAGGTTGTTATTAGCAGTAGTAGTAGTATCCTTTTAATCCTAAAAATCAAGCCTTCATTTTACAGATGAGGAACCTTAGGCCCAGGGAGGCTTAGCAACTTTCCTGAGACTGTGCAGCTTGGCGGTGATAGTGTGGGAGTCGGCCCCGGCCACTGTCCCCAGAGTGCTGGCCCCTGGGAAACACTTTGGACCCCTGCTCTGACCACCCCCATCTCTTCTCACAGAAAGTCCATCCAGAGGAACTCAGTGAGGCCCCGAGTACCTGCGAAGCCCTCCAAGATGTATGGCACGCTGCGGAAGGGGTCTGTTTGCCTGGACTCCAAGACGGAGCAAGTGAAGAAGGTCTTCGAAGCTCTGAAGAGAGGCCTCAAGTAAGCATGGGCTGCGCGTGGCCTTTCACGAGTGGACTCCGTGGCCTCTTGCCTGCTCGCACCTCCCTGCCTTCCCTGAGGAGCACGGCCAGGTCTGGTCTGGAAGGGCTGCAGAAGGAGCTCCTGGTCATTCATTTAGATGGGAAGCACTTGCCCGGGATCCCACCCAGGAGGCATCCCTCGCCCTCCTCCCATGATGCACCTGGTGCTGGTGCAGAGAGGGAGGCTGGGCGGTGAGCCCAGAGTGGGGACAGCTATCTCCAAGGTGCTCACCTCCTAGGACAGCCCCTGGTGATTCCTGTAGGACCGCCTATTTGAGACTTGTGTGGAGTCAACAGCATCCCATTTTCCCTGGGGGGGTCAAAACTCTGAGTGAGCTATGAGTCACAGATAGTAGTGTAAACGGGCCCAGAGAGGGTAGGTTGCCTTCCTGGAGTGACCCAGCAAGTCTATGATGGAACCCTCCCCCCAGCTCCTGAATCCAGACCTCAGGTTTCTTGTCTGAGTCTCTTTGGCTGGAAAATACAATGTGAGATGTCCCAGGCCATGGCTTTCGCTGTGCTTTCTGGAATGGGTTTTCCAGGCCACTTGCCAGGGCTTGGCCCCAGACAGCCAGACAGTAGGATGGCCTGCCCTTGTCCATGAGGCAGGGCTACTCCTGGGGGCCTCCCCTGGGGCTGGGGGCAGATATCGGTCTCCGGGGGCCACTGCCTGGTTTTGGGCCTGGGTTCAGCCTTTCCCCTGCCAGGTGACCCTGCGCTGGGTTACTCATGATCTTCGAGGGCCAGTTTGCCCACCTCTAAGATGGGGTTGATAAGAGTAGAACCTGTTTGTGGGCTGTGTGGGGATGAGAGATTTTCCCCATATTTCACAGTGCTGGGCACACGGCCCACAGGGTGTGGGATCTGGAGGCCCAGCAGATGGGGCGAGGCTTCGGGGTGGGTGGGACGGTCTGCCCTCCGCCCTCTGCCCGCTGAGAACCGCGGCTGCTGTCCACACGGAGGCCGTGGCTGCTGGCAGTCCAGAACACCGGTCATCGGCCGGTTTCCTTTTCTCTTCTTGCTCCTTTTCCAACTCCTCTTCCTCGATCTCCTCACAGGGAGTACCTGTACGTCCAGCAGGCCGAGCTGGATTACCTGTCAGGACGCCACAAGGACACCCACAGGAATTCCAGGCTGGTGAGACCCCTCCCCGCCCCTTCCTGCTGGGGCAGCCTTGTCCGGGTTCAAAGGTGGACCCTCCCCCAGCCCCTTGCCTGCATCATGGGGGCGAATCTCTGGAACTCAGATGCCTAAGGAAAGGACTGGCCTTATATTAGGATGAATTTAACCTCAGGAGCTGGTGGGAAGCCCCCCAGCGCCCCCAACATGGCGCCAGAGTTCACCCATCTGATGACCCACCTCCACTCTCCCTTTGGTTCTAGAAGCCACTGTAAGGCAGCCAGGTGGGCCGAGGTGCCTGTTTTAGAGGCCCCAGTTTGCAGGCCATGGCCAAAGACTTGGGAATTTTCCTCATTCCTTACTTCTTACGTGGTGTTTAATTCCATAACCCCATGAGTGCAGTTTTGCATAAATCCGAACATGGGCAAACACGCAATTTGGGGGCTGAGTTCAATCCATTGTTCCTTTCTGCTCAACACCCTTCTGCACTGTGTCTTTGCCACTCTGTTTAACGCTAACACTTACCTTTCCATGGTTCTCTCTCGGCACATGATCACACAAACACACGCCCCGGTGTGTGTAGGGGGCTCTGGTCCACAGCGGTGCTGAGGAAGTGGGCCCAGAGCTTGCACTCTCTTCCGCATCTTGCCTTTCCCCCAGCAGATCCCAACCTTGTGGAAGCCCTCCAGGCTCAGGGACCGTGACTCCAGTCTGCCGGGGTGAACTAGGGCCTCTTTCGGAAACACCACAGTTTGTCCACACAGGCCACACCCGTCACTTACGTATTTTCTGTGGCCGATTTCATGCCGCCACGGTGCAGGCCACCTGGCCTGGAAACCCTGAAATACTCACTACCTATCGCTTTACACAAAGACTTGGCCACCTGACAATATGTTTTTCTCTGGAGACGCCCCCTCTGCCCCAGCGTGGATGGATCAGTCTGGCTTTGCCTGACCTCTTGGGTGGTGCCGCTGCCTCTCCCCACCCTCACTTGTAGTCATGGCTGAGGTCGCCCCTCACACAACCAAACTGCAATGGTCCCCATTTTGTTGAGTGCTTACTTTGTCTTTATACTCTTCATAGCACCTTAGGCAGTAAGTGCTATGGCAGTTCCATTTCACGTGAGGAAATAGAGACTCAGGGAGGTTGAGTAACTTGCCTGGGACACACAGCTGGGAAAGGGAGCTGGCCCTGAGCTGCCTCACCCAAAGCCCTGATACCTTCTCCCTCCCCTCCCCTCTCCCCTCCCCCACAGGCTTTCTATTACGACCTGGACAAGGTGAGTGAAACTTCCTTTCTCTGCACATGGTGAGCAAGGTAGGCTGTGGCTGGGCCCGGCTGGATGACAATAACGTCTTTGTTCCCCCACTTCACCAGCTGGTGGTCCTGTGGGAGAAATACCTGGGGTCCTCCCCAATTTACACAGGGGGAAACTGAGGGCCAGCGATGAGCCTTCCTCAAGGATGGTGAGGGGCTGGCCTGACTTTGAGTCCGGTTCTCTGTGTCGGGCCCGAAGGAGGGTGGCAAGAGCCGGCGGGTGGTCCAGCTACGTTTACAGCATCTTGTCTTTTTCTGGGAGAAGCAAACGCGCTGCGTGGAAAGGCACATTCGGAAGATGGAATTTCATATCAGCAAGGTCAGCCTGGTTCCTGGGTGTCTCAGGGCGGGGTGGGGCAGCCTCTGTCCTTGCTGGGCCTCTGCCCGGGAGCAGGAGCCAGCAGGCCCCTCTGAGCAGGGGGCGGACTCTAGAGAAAGCCCAGGGAGCAGGGCTGTAGGGGCCGAGCTCAGAAAGACCTCACACTCAGTCTTGGAGGGTTGAGACCAAGCATCCCATCCTAGAGATGGGGGAGTGGAAGCCCAGAGAGGGACAAGGATTGCCTGAGGTCACACAGCAAGTCCTTTAAGGTCCGAAGTCAGCGAATCCTTCCGCCATCTTGGTTTACTCATCCAGCAGCCCAGTAGGACATCCTGAACCCATTTACTGTTGACAAATCAGGCAGGGAGAGGGGACGGGCTGCCGTGGGGTGGCGTGTCCAGTTCACTAGCTTTCATTGTGCACCAACTGTGTGCCAGTTGCTCGGGACATGAAGTGGGCGAGACAAATGTGGTTCCTGCTCCTGTGGGGTCACATCCTATGGGCCGCCAGTGAGGGAGGACAAGTGCAGGGTGTGACCACCATCAGGGGCTGGGTGGACGTTAGCGCAGGGACGTCATACTCTCCCAGAGGGTGAGTGATGGGCAGGTCTGGGCCTGGCCCCTGCTTTCGGCGTGGGCAGCTCCCACTGTCCCGTGCCTCTGGCAGGTGGACGAACTCTACGAGGGCTACTGCATCCAGTGCCGCCTGCGAGACGGCGCCTCCAACATGCAGCGTGCCTTCTCCAGGTGCCCCCCAAGCCGCGCCTCCCGCGAGAGCCTGCAGGAGCTGGGCCGCAGCCTGCAGGAGTGCACCGAGGTGGGCTGCCCGCTGTGGGGGCTCCGGGAGCAGGGACAGACCCCGCCTTGGGGGCCCCAGGAAGCTCTGCTCACCGGCCTCCGAGGTGCAGCCTGGGGCCGTGCTGAGCCCTTCTGTGTGGGGCTTTGCAGGACATGTGGCTCCTGGAGGGGGCGCTGGAGGCCCACTTGGGCGAGTTCCACGTCAGGATGAAAGGTAATAGGGCTGAAGAGGTGGACGGCGGGAGGCCGAGTGAGAGGAGAGTTGTCGGGCCTTCTGCAGGGCCCTGGGACTTCCGCTGAGGGCGGGGCATGGGTCAGAGCTCAGCGGCCCTGGCCCCGCCCTGGGTCTCCACCCTGTGACACGTGACCTCGGTCAGGTCCCGCCTTCTCTCTGAGTGGACGTGAGGGCCCAGGCCTGTCCACTGCCCATCACGATGGCTTATTTCTACGTGTGGTTCCCAGTCTCAGGTTGGGGTGGGGGTTCCCCAGTGAGGGCCGATGACACGGGGCTGGGGCAGAGGAAGACAGAAATCAGCCCACCTCTGTGTTCCAGGCTTGGTGGGCTACGCACGCCTCTGTCCAGGAGACCAGTATGAGGTACAGCCAGCCTCCGGGATCCGGGGTCCCCGCCAGGCCTTTGGGGGTCCCCAGGGCCCTAGCTGGCAGGGAGGGCCCTCATGTGGGTGGCAAGGGGAGGCAGTCACCTGGGGCAGCTGACCCACCCCTTCCTGGGCCTGGCCCACAGGTGCTCCTGCGCCTGGGCCGCCAGCGCTGGAGGCTGAAGGGGCGGATCGAGTCTGATGACAGCCAGACCTGGGATGAGGAGGAGAAGGCCTTCATCCCTGTGCTGCATGAGAACTTGGAGATCAAGGTGGGTGGGGCCTAGGGGCGGGGCCAGGGTCTCTAGGGGCTCGGCTAGAAACCTGCAACTCCTGCAACTCCTCGCCCCCCAGGTGACCGAACTGCGTGGCCTGAGCTCACTGGCTGTGGGCACAGTGACCTGTGACATCACCGACTTCTTCACCACCCGGCCGCAGGTCATCGTGGTGGACATCACAGAGCTGGGCACCATCAAGCTGCAGCTGGAGGTGCTGTGGAAGTGAGTCGGGGTCAGCCTCCCTCCCTGTCCTGCTGCCCCTTCCCAGGGCCAGCCCCGAATTCCCACCTGGAGGGGTGCCCCCCCGCCCAGAGTGACAGCATGATGGGTCTCGCTGGCTCCCCCTGGTGTCCTGACCACACCCTAGCACCCACTGGTGGGTATTTCTGCCCTCACCTCCCAGGAAGCAGGGGCCTGCAGTCACCGAGCCACAGTCCCTGGGGCTAGGGCTGGGCCCCCAACACCTCTAGCCAGGCCAGTGTGCACCTGAGAGCCAGCAGGGTGGGGGTGACACCCTGCTCCTAGGGGGTTCGACAAGGCCTTGGCTCCCCAGCCTTACCCGTGACTGGGACTGACAGGGCCGTCCCTCTAGGAAGGTGCCCTTCACAGCTGGGAAATCTGAGTGGGGTGATGACGCGGTTTACCCAGGAAGCAGCGGCACTGCGTGTCTCCTGCTGGTCTGCTGAGCTTCTCAGAGGGACCTCTGACGGGGGCATCTCTCACCCGTGTGTGGGGCCAATCGCTGCACCTTGCCCTCAGGCTAAGGGCCCTCAGGGTGGTGGGTGTCTGAGAAATGGTTCCAAGAAAGCTGAGAATTTGGACCCAGAGTCGCTGAGCTTCGCCTGTCATCCCGGGCAAGGCCTGCCCCTCCCAGGCCTCCACTTCCTCTCCAGGCCTCAGGGACACCCTGGCCTTCTGTTCTCACCTCCAGCCCACTTGATACCGAGAGCTTCTTGGTGTCGCCCAGCCCCACGGTCAAGTTCTCCGTGGGCAGCAGGAAGGGCTCCTTGTACAACTGGACGCCCCCGAGCACCCCCAGCTTCCGGGAGCGGTACTACCTGGTGAGCGGGCCCCACTGGGGCCGAGATGCTGTGGACTCATGGTGACACTGCTGGGGGGTGGCTCCCCAGGGACCGGCGTGTGGGGTGCGGCTGGGCAGCCTGGCACCTCTCCATGAAGCAAGCTTTGGGTTCAGGCTCCTTCATTTTGGGTTCTCCGGGTGTTTTCCTGTACTTTTTCCTCCTTGTTGCTGGCTCCTCTATTCTGTCCCGGGGGGTGGGCAGCTAGACTTGGCTGGTTCTCCTGGATGCCTAGAACAGGGTCTGCCGGATGGTTCTGTCCCCCCAGCCATGGACTTGGCCTCCAACTTTTTTGTTTTAACCTTAAATGGAATGTGTTTCCAGTAGGTAATATCTTGACATAGTACACAGTAAAACACCGTTTTCCCGTGGCCTCTAGGGATCTGGTCCCTGCCCTAGTGCTGTTGTCAACTCCTTCCCTGTCCTTCCAGAGACACTCGATGCCACCTGGGAGCAAATGCACCTTTTCCTCTAACGTTTAATCTAAAGCAGCCCTTTTAATCTAGTGATAGGTTAAAGGCATGGGGGGATTGGAGGTGGGACAGGTAAATGGGGAAGGACAAAGGCCCTCAAAAGAAGGCGTGTAAACACCAGATGCTTAATCCAATGACGAGCTGCTGTTGTTTGATACAGTGGGCACGTATTGTGTTCTGCAGGGCAGGCCCTTTCTTCCTCCATTCACTTGGCTCATTCAAAACTATGGGCTGCCAGGCTCGCCTCCGGCCGGGTGGGGACTGCACCCTCAGGGAGGAAATAAAACGGAACACTCTCGGAGAGAGAGCACAGCCAGTGCAAAGGCCCTGAGGTGGGAAGGTGGGAAGGAACCTGGAGAGTATGAGAAATAGCAAGGAGGCCACTGGGGCTAATGAGTCAGAGCAGAGAGGTTACGGGGTGCTATGGGCACCTCTGAGTCAGCCGGTGGGCCTTGGGCACCTAGAGATGGTGGGTGTGCAGAGGGGGTGTCTGTGGCCGGCAGAGTCTTGCTGTGGTCCTTGGGGCGGCCAGTGAGGTTGGTCCTGTGTCTCCCCCCACACCTCAGTCTGTCCTGCAGCAGCCGGTGCAGCAGGCCTTGCTGCTGGGCAGTCCAAGAGCCACCTCCATCCTCAGCTACCTGTCTGACAGCGACCTTCGGGGCCCCAGCCTGTGTAGCCAGAGTCAGGAGCTGCCTGAGATGGACTCCTTCAGCTCTGAGGACCCCCGAGATACTGAGACCAGCACATCAGCATCCACCTCGGATGTGGGGTTCCTGCCCTTGGCCATTGGCCCTAGCGCCTCCATTGAAGAGGCTCAGGAGGACCCTCCATCCTTGGGCCTCCTGACAGACATGGCCCACCTGGCAGGAGGCTCATTTGTGGAGCGGCCTGGCTGGCGGAATTTGGGAGTAGAGAGCCCTAACCTGCCACGGGGCTCCCCACTCCACAGCCATATGATGCCGGGCAGCCAGAACGACCATGATGAAGAAACTGGGGACGGAGTGGAAGGGCCTGGGGTGAGCCTTGAGAGGCCCCTGCAGGAGGTGCTGGACTTACTGAGGTGCACAGGCCCCTCCCAGCCCCGGCTCCGGGAGCTGGAGTACCAGGTCCTCAGCTTCAGGGACCGACTGAAGGTATGTGCACACCCTACCAATGGTGTGATGACTGGGAGTGGGCCCTGGGGGCAGCCGGCCTGGGAAGGTACCCCGCTCTCCCCTCTGCATCGCCTGGGTGGGTGATGTCTCCTCTCTCAGCCGCAGTTCACTCACCTGTCCAGTGAGGATAAGCAGGGCCCTCCTCGGGCTGGGAGGAGGCCTGGGAGGGTGTCGGGGCTCCCAGTGCAGAACTTGCTCCCCATCCGGGCAGAGCTCAGCCCCATCCCCTGTCCCCCAGTGTTACAATCAGCACAGGTGAAAAAAGGTGGGTCTTCATTTTCTATCCAGGAACTTTCAAAAAAGTTCACTATTTACCACTGCTGTGGTCTGTGAAAAGGATCTGCCTGAAGATTTCTGAAAAAAATAATCTAAATAGTTACTTTTTTTCTATTTCTTAACCACGTTTTTATGTGGAACAATTTGTCGGCACTCACACAACTCATCATCTGTAATTTGAAAAATTATACCCACTTTACACACAAATCTTAAAATAACACCGCAATCAGGCAATGATTTTAACTATCTTCGAGGAGGAACTTTTCCTGGCAAACCAAGTTAGAAGAATAAAAATGATTATGGGCTATGGTTTTTAGTTTGACTTTTTAAGGAGAAATTCTGCCCGCGTGTACGTGTGCACAAGTGTGTATTTCACTATATACTCATTATTCATAGGTTCTTTTTTTCTGGTGAACCCACTGACTCCCTAAAATTCACCTCTAACCCCCAAATCCACACTCATGATGCCGTCAGGTGCAGAGTGACCAAAAACCTGAGTTACCTGGCGTGCTCATCAGACAGTGACAGTGCGTCTCGTTTCAGCTCTCCTGTTGCAACACTGTATTTTGCTGTCTATTTAGTGCTGGGTTTTCGCATTTTTGTGCTTTTCTTTCTTATTTTTTTTTGGATGCTTGTGTGCTGTTGTAAATGGCCCCAATACAGAGCTGAAGTGCTGGCGAGTGTTGGAGGAGCGAGCCGGTGGTGGTGTGGCTGGTGGAGAAAACATGTGGGTTGGGCATGGGTTGCAGGCTGCGGGCTTGAGTTCGCTGTTAGGCAGTAAACCATACGTAGGAAGTGAGGGGTCTTGAAACAGAAACACACAAAACCCGGGTACCCGCTGGCTGTTGGTGGGAATGCTGTGGCCCGGGGCTCGTAGCCTCTGCATTGCTCTGAGGAGCTGTGGTGGTTCCGGACTTGGAAACCCAGCGGTCACTCACGGCAGCTTTGCAGACCAGTGCATGTGACGAGCGTTGCCCGGGTGTGCACGCACAGATAATAGATGTGCATTTTTTTTCCTGTTAGGAAAGGACATCTCTGCAGTTAGCTGTATTCTCTTGCTGCTCAAGATTTTGTCTTCGGACTCCACTTTTCGGAGCCCAGTTTTGCTCACAGGGCAGCAACTGCTTAGGCTCTGTCTTGTGTGGGATGAGGCCGGGCTAGCGGGCCCGGAGACCGGATCCAGCCCTGGAGCATGCCACAAGGGGACAGGACAGACATGTCCAGTGGTGGAGACAGAGGCACCGCCGTGGCTCCAATGCTGTGTCCCCTCCCAGTTAGGGGCAGCCTCCCACCTCCTCTCCATGTCCCCCTGGGGAGACACGCCTGGAGTCCACAGGCCATCTGGCACCTCTGAACCCCCTGAAGAGGTGTCTGGCTGGACTCACACCATGTTTTCAAAATAACTTGAAATTAGTTGTCAGTATTTAAAAACAGGGTGGCTTCCCACAGAACCCCAGCTTTCCAGTTTTTCTTGGAAACAGAACAATCTGGCGACACTGGCCCCGTGTTCCCTAGTGGCAGGTGTCGGCTGCAGCAGCACCTGACCTCCTGGGGGAGGGCCCCCACTCTCCTGCTTTCCATGGTCCCCCACAACCAACCACTCACTCCTGTCGCTTGCCCTGTCCTCGTGGCCGGTGTCTGTGACTAGCGGAGTCTTTTCAGATCTGTTTCCTTTGAGTGTTTGTACCCTGCCTTGTCACTTGCCTCTCGGGAGGGTCCTTGAAGAGTGCTGCGCCCCCGTGCCCATCACCCAGTTGCAGGATGCTGTTAAGGTGGGGTGTAGGGTGCGTGGATCCAGCTGCCTTCAGGTCTTGCTCCGTCCACAGCCCCGCGGAGGCCGCCGGGAGCACAGCTCGGCTGAGAGCCTGATGGAGTGCATCCTGGAGAGCTTCGCATTCCTCAACGCAGACTTCGCCCCCCATGAGCTGTCCCTCTTTGGGGGCCCCCAGGGTCCCCGGTGAGTGCACCCGCCAACACTGACCAGGTGACCAGCCTGAGCTCCGCACTTCCCAGCAGCCTCCTGGCCTGTGTGTCCCACTGCCCGATTGGTATTTCCTTTCATCGTTTATTGTGCCTCCCCTCCCCGTCCCACCCTCACACGCTGCGTGGCACAGAGCAGGTCCCTGGGGCCCAGAGTGAGCGAGAGGAGCTCAACCCGGCCCTGGGCTTTCTACTCCAAGCAATGGGCTTTAAAAAAAAATCTTAAAAAGTAAGAATGGAAGACACAGTAGGGACCCTGACCTTGACCTAACCGACACTCAGCAGCGACCGTGCTCCCTGACCCCTCTGCATAGCTGTCCACCTCCACTAGGACATCACCTTGGCCTCCCTGATCGGAGAGAGTTCTCCAGGGAGGAGGGTACCCTCTGCTCTAACCAGAATGGTCACCTAGTTCTTCTCCATTCAACTCAGAAAGGACAGGACCCTGCCCCCACCACCATCACTGAAAGAGTCACCCAGGGAGCTCACAGCTGGCACCCCCGAGCTGGACATGCTGCTCACAGTCCACCTCCAAGTCTGCAAGGCTCTGCTGCAGGTGGCTGAGGGGCCTGGGGAGGACGGGGTGAGGGGAGAGGGGGCGGCTGGCCAGGGGGCTGGGCGGGGTGGGAGTTCTCCCTGCAAAGGGCGGGCCTCGAAGGTGGCAGGGAGCACAAGAGACCTGCGCCTGGAGAGCCGGTGGCGTTGAGGAGGTTCCCCTGTGGCAGGTCCAGGCCAAGTAAAGGGTCATGTGGCTCTTATGCAGCCCAAGTCCCAAATCAAAGGCAGTGGCTGTGACTCCTTCAGTTGTCGAAGCCAGAACTCCAGTCCAAACTGGCTCAACCTAAAGAGAAAGCCTATTGGCTCTCAGCATTGACAAGCCCAGAGCTGGGCTTCAGGCCCAGCTGGATCCATGGTTTCAGACGTCACCATGACTGGGCCTCTCTCCCTGTCTCCGCTCTGCTTTCTTGTGTGGGTTGGCTTCACTCTCGGGCAGGCTGGTCCCTCCTGGTGGCAAAGGCAGCCCCTGGTGGCTACAGCCTGTATCCTGTGGTCTCAGCCACTTTGGTGAAAACCCCCAGATGACAGGCTGGGAGCAACCCCTGGGACAGAAAGGATGGACGCAGGGCAGGTGAGGGCCCTGGTCAAGACGACGGACATCGGAGGGCCCGTCGATGCTGACCCGGAGCACCATGGGCTGTTCCCCAGAAATTGGCCTGTCCCGGTTTGTCGGAGGTCGTTCAGGAGCGCCTTCTGGAAGAAGCTACACAGCAAAAGCAGGTTCTGGAGACTCTTTCTGTGCTGGATTTTGAGAAGGTCAGCAAGGCGACGTCCATTGAAGAGAGTAAGTAACCGCCCGCCCCCAGGGGCTGCTCTCATGAGTGGCATGAAGTGACAGGCTTTGTCTCCCCGATGTCCAACGTTAACTGGAGCCCACAGGTGTCTTCGGACAGATGGGGCTCAGACACATGCTGTGGGGGCAGGGAGGGAGGCCACACAGCCTTGGAGTGAGCTGTACATGCTCTGCGGTCCGCTGTGGGGCTCCAGGCCAGTGACTCACCCCCCGAACCTCTGCCCCGGAGGCCTCAAGACACACTCCAGGCCCCCAGCACGAGCTCAAACAGTAGCTGTGACCTCAGCTTTGCCTCTGCCCCGATGAGACCTCCCCTTGTCCATAAGGAGAGGAGACAGTGGCTGCCCCAGGTTATGAAGACTGTGGGTGGTGACCCGGGGAAGGTGCTCAGAGCTGAAGTTCGTCCTCTGTGTCACACTGGAGAGTCGGAAGAGGACACCACGTGTCACCCCTCGGCGCCCCGGCCTCGTGTCCCAGTGGGGGAATCTGTGGGCCCCCGGTGCCCACTTTCCTGCTGCAGCAAGGTGTCTGAGCCTGGGCTTTCAGTCCTTCCGCAGGCCGCTCGCAGGAAGGGCTGTCTGAGGCTGTGGAGAGGGTGCACCGCACCCGGCGGGGTCCTGGCCTGCCCCGCCGCCTCGCTCCTGAACCAGCTCAAGAAAACGTTCCTGCACCGAGTCAGGGGGAAGTTCCCGGGACAACTGGAAATAGGTAGCTCCCTCCACCCCCACGGGAGACACCGTTTGGCGTCTCTGGGCCCCCATCTCAGCCCCGGCTTCACCTCTGAGTGTCTGGGTTCTCAGTGAGACTACAAGTCCCCTCCTTTTACTGGGGGGATGACGGAGGAGTCTCTGAAACTGCAAACGTTACTGGGGGTGCTTATTTCTGGGGACAGACTACATGGCTTCCACCAGAACCTGAAAGGGGTTAAGAAAGAACCTTACGACTGCACCGTGAAGGTATCCTGACAGCCCCTCAGGGTGCAGAGTATTTCCTGTTAACAGCCTAAGGGTGACAGCCTTACTCCAGGTAGTGGCTCTGGCACATAAGCTGCCCTGCTCATCTCCCACGCTGCTCAGCGGCCTGCATGTTCCCAGGCCCAACACCCACCCATGTGCCCGTAGAGAGCCTTTAAACTGGCCACGCCAGCTAAGGGGCGCCCCCAGGCGAGTACCTGTGCCATCTCATGGCCCTCCTGTGTCTTCTCGCCAGTGTGCCGCAGGCTCCTGGAGCAGGTGGTCAGCTGCAGCGGGCTGCTCCCCAGAGCAGGCCTCCCCGAAGAACAGACTGTCACCTGGTTCCAGTTTCACAGCTACCTGCAGAGGCAGAGTGTCTCGGACCTGGAGAAGCACTTTGCCCAGCTCACCAAGGAAGGTACGGCAGGTGGCCTCAAAGCCACATCCATGGAGTGCTCTGCCCCAGCTCTCGGAAGCCAGCTATTCAGAACCACGGCGTCTTTCCCTTGCAGCTGTTCTCCTGAGAACCCCCACTTAATTAGACCGCACCTTCAGCCCGTGCGCATGATGAGATTAGCTCTGGGGGAGGAAGGCTTCCAGCAGAGTGAGGTCAGAGTTGCAGACGAGGGGTGCTCCGCTAGCCAGCGTCCTTGGAGTGTGGGCTGGGGTTGTATTAATCTTCAGGGCAAATCTGACCCCTTGTTTAGAAAGCCTTCCCGGAGAGCCCAGACTGGCCTTGGCGACCACGTGCACTTGCTCTGGGATCTGCTTCTCCATGGCTAATGGCAGTGGCCAAACTAACCACAGCAGGGGCCCTGGGCCCACCTGCTCCGTCTCTTCCAGTTACGCTGGTGGAGGAGCTGCAGTGCACGGGGCAGGCTAAGACGGTCAGGAAGCTGCAGGGGAAGCGGCTGGGCCAGCTGCAGCCCCTGCCCCAGACGCTGAGGGCCTGGGCGCTGCTCCAGCTGGACGGGACTCCGCGGGTGTGCAGGGCGGCCAGTGCCGCCCTGGCTAGTGCGGCCAAGAACAAGAGCTTTCGAGAGAAGGTACGGTACGAGGAGGGGGGTGGCTACCTCCTGGCCACAGGTGTGGGGAGGCAGAGGGAGGGACGGGGGGAGGCTTTGTCTCTGGGAAAAATATGAAGGTGTGAGTGACTGGGGGTTGCATTCGCTGCAAGGTGTTTGGATTTAGGGGCACTCCAAACATGAACACAGCTCTCCTTATGCCATTGCTGCTGGTGGCACCAGCCCTGGGGAAGGATCTGGGTGTGGCTCTGGGCCACCACCCGAGGAAGCCACAGAACCGCATCCCACACACTGGCCTCACCCACCCCAGGGATCCTAGCACAACGCTGTCTGTCGGTATCTGAGATGTCACTTGTGCTTAGACGTTTTTTTCCTTAGAATCCCAACGGTCATCCTCATTTACTTGCAGTGAATGTCTATGGCTTGTTGGTTCACTGTGTTGAGTCCATTTGAAAACCAAGAAATTGAACTCCTCTACCTTTTAGGTTCCTGGACCCGTGACTGTCCTAGATTTAAGGTCCCAGCCCCCGAGGCGTGAGAAGCAACGCCAGGGCCTTACTAATAGTCTCTTGGGCTCCCCGAAGGCCAGACACATCCCCACATGCTCATGGCTTTGTGAAGCAAGTGCCAGCTTTATTCTCCATAGGAAGGGACTTGGCCTTGGTGATGGGACCAAGGGGGCGGGGCAGAGCTGTGACTGGAGGAGGGTGTCGAAGGGAAGATGCTTTCCGTGTGGCCTGAAGGGCAGCAGAAGAGGACGGCTCCTGTCTGTGTTCAGTTCTTGTTGTCCTGCTGGACATTGGACTGGACATCCGACGTGAAACTGGAGAGCAGTTTCAGAATGCAGTTTGTAAACAGTATTACAGAAACAGAGCTTTTCATTCGATTACCAGCAGCCCCCAAACCAGCACTTTCAGCCCTGGCTGGTGTGGCTCAGTGGATTGAGGCAGGCCTGTGAACCAAAGGATCATGGTTCAATTCCCAGTCAGGGCACATGCCTGGGTCACAGGCCAGTTCCCAGCTGGGGACCCACAAGAGGCAGCCATACATTGATATTTCTTTCCTTCTCTCCTTCCCTTCCCCTCTAAAGATAAATAAATAAAAAATCTTAAAAAATAAAAACCCCAGCACTTTCAGAGATAAGCTCAATACTGTGGTCTAGATCTCAGGACTGTGCCCCTGGCCCAGAGAGGAATGGGTCCCGGCCTGATTTTGTTTAGGAAAAGGTAAGAAGAGCCTGACTTACTGTCAGCGGCTGCAGGATCAGCTATGAGCACCGTGGACTTTGCTTTCGGCACCCCCTCTCCCCTTCGTTCACGGCCGCCTTATTTCCCAGGCTTTGCTTTTCTACACCAACGCCCTGACCGAGGATGACTCGAAACTCCAGCAAGCTGCGTGTGTGGCGCTCAGACATCTCAGGGTGAGTTCAGCCCGTCCTCCTGGTGATGGAGAAGCCTGCTCGTGGTGAACGCTAAAGTCAGTTCATTTCCGAGTCATTTCCACCGAGACCAAAACAGGAGCTTGAAGAGCTGGTTGTAGAGCAGCCGCCGGCCCCGCTGGCAGAGGCTGTGTCTGCGGCGGCCTCTCCGCAGTGAGCGTCTGCTCTGGCGCTGCGTGAGTGAGTGGGGGCTCCGGGGACTCGGTTCGGAACTCTTGGATTATGTACTTTAATATCCGTGATTAAAAAAAAATCAAAAAGCTCATTGTGGGAAAAAAAAAGAGTAGTAAAACACAGAAATGTAAATTATTCATCATCCTAACACTCAGAGGAAACGATTGGCGTTTTGGTATATTTCTTATTCGTGGGTGTGTGTGAGCGGTAAAAATGGATACTGTTTAATATCGACAAAATTCAATGTAGTTTAAAGCCAGTGAACAAGTACGAACTTCTTGTGTTCGACTGGTAGTACTTTGGAGTTCTTTATGAAGGGTCTACCACAGGTGTACCTTAATTTAACCTGCTCCCCTACTCTCTTCCTGTGGAAAACTGAGGTTCGTCATTTTCATTACAAACAATGCCATTTTAGGCATTTTTTGTACATAAAGCTTCAACCTCACTGCACTTAGAACTCTCATTTTAAAAAAGAATCGCCAATTTACTAGATGACAAGTAGTCCCGCACGGACTGAACTCACTCCACTCATTCTGGAATGATCCAACAGGAAATTCCAGGCCCATTGGTTACCATTAAAAAAACCAGTAAGCGGATCAGGGTGTCCAGAGGAGGGCGCTGAAGTGCACCCTGGTCCTTGGCCCTGCAGAGAAGCTTGGGGGTCAGGGGAGCCTGAACTGGGGCCCAGCTGCTCCTCTCCTAGTCCGACCTGGAGCGGGGTCGGGGTTGGGACAGCAGAGGCAGGAAGCAGGTCTTTTCATTTCAAAGTGGGCCTTTAGCTGCTCTGTGTATCATCGCTAGGGCCCACTCGCTGGCGGGCGTCAAGACTGCAAAGATAAGACATTTGCAATGGGGTTTCGGATGAACCTGAGGCAACATAAGCAACCCAGCTGCCTTCAGGAAAGGGGCTCGGGCCCCAGAGCCCAGGCTAGGCTGGTCCTGCAGGGCTTATACTCATGGATTCTGCCTGCTACTCGAAGCGCCCCCTAATGGATCTTCTCTCCACAAGCAGGGCATCGAGAGCATCGACCAGATTGCCAGCCTGTGCCAGTCGGACCTGGAGGCGGTGCGAGCGGCAGCCCGGGAAGCCACACTGTCGTTCGGTGAGGGCACTCGTTCAATGTCTTGTGCAGTGCGGTGGGTTCCCGGGTCTTTAGCGAGGTCGTGCTAGAGCCCTGGCCAGCTCTCAGAAGACACCAACTAGCACATGGCACGGGCAGTTAGCAATCCATTTAACTGCATTTGGCCAAGGCAGGTTTTCTTCATGGTTCAGGTGGCAAAGAACACTTTATTTCCTTTATGTTCCTTGAAAATGGAAGCAGATGAAAGGGATGTGACTCTATCTTGGATGCAGGGGCGAGGCACAGGTGGGCCAGTTAGGAGCCCCCCAGACACCCCTGCCCCTGGTCTATTCAGCAGCACCCGACACCCAGGTGTAACTGCTGAGGCCATCTTGGCCTAGAGAGCAGGACACACTGAGGCAGGGGACAATCCAGTGACAAATCCCCGTAATACTGCAGGTGAAAAAGGACGCTTGGCTTTTGAGAAGATGGACCGACTTTACTCAGAACAAAGAGAAGCAGCCTTTGGCCAGGAGGCGGATGTGGAAATCACAGTGTTTTAAAGAGCCTCCGCTGATGAACTCACTCCTGGCATCTTTGTTTTTGCTGCTGCCCAGTCTCGACACACAGGGACTGAACTGTGGATGGGGGGGCACATGGTGTGAGGCCCCGAAGGGTAAGCTGTCCAGAGCTGCTCCGAGTTGGCTACAAGGCCCCAGGACGCAAGCGGGGCTTTGGTGTCCGACAGCTGACCTGCTTCTACTAAACTGTCAGCTTCTGGCTTTGTGAACCTGTCTTACCCAGGACGCAGCGCCAGCCACACTACAAAGGAGTCAGGGCCTGGCAGGTCGAGGCCCAGAATGAAAGGCTCCAAGGTGAGTGTGAACTTGTCTCCTTGCACATCAGCCGGCTCAGCTCTTGTGGCTCAACCGAGACGGGCTGGGGAGGCCTGCGGGCCTGTGAGCTTGCTAAGGGACCAGTGATGTAAAGGAGTCATTTCCAAGGCAGCAGCTGTCACCTAGGGGACCTGGGGATGGTGGGAAGGCACACAGCCAGGCCTTCCATGGTGCAACTCTTGACCCGAGCTACGGCCCCAATGCCTGCTGCCCGGGGACTTAATTTCCAGCACGTTCGCCAGTGAAAGGACAGCAGCAGCCTTGTGTCGTGTCAGGAAAAGCATTCCATTCGACCTCACGACACCAACCCGAAACTCAACTTTGGAGGCACATAAGCTTAGGGCCTGTTATGCAAATCGCTCCAGAACCCCGTGTGAAGATTTCACTGAGCAGGCTGCTTTAAAGGAAGAAAATCAGTGTCCTATTTAAGTCTATTAAAGACTCGTGGGCGTCCTGAGCTGTCTGTGTTCAGGACGCTGGCTTTTGGGTGTACCTGTCAACAGCGGCCTCGAGGACTCTGTAACTTAAACGTTCCCATTTACACTCCCTGTATATATCTTGGGCTTTTCGACTTAATTTAGTATTTATTTGCCTTGTGTCTATGTTCAACTTTCTGAAAATTTCAATAAAAAAAAAACCAATAATTTTTATTGGTGTTTCACTCCACCTGAAAAAAAGTAAATAGTGGTTGTTTCCCCAAACACCCTGCTGGGGGGGAAAGCCACCCCTACTACCCCTCAGCGCGCCCCCCAGAAGCGGTTCTCCCACAGAAGTAGGCATGAGGGGGCGCTCCATGTGCCCTCTCCTCTCAGTCACCATGGATGCCTGGGCCCCGTCCGATTTCTGTTCCAAAGTCGCACAGGAATGTACTGTTCCCCACACAGGCAGGCACCTCTTCACAAAACCTCAGCTTTTAAAAGCTTCATAAAAGCTCTTTTTGTACGTGGAATGAGGACTGATGTGACAGTGAGCATGACAACGGCAGCCGAGCCCCCAGCCCTTGGTGCGTGTTGTGCGGTCACAGGAGCGTGGCTGTGTTTGTCCCCAGTCCCGTGGAGCCTGCTGGGGGCCAAAGCACAGTTTACTCAGCAGCAGTCGGAAAACCCTGAAGGGCACAAGGGGATTCTCTGCGATCTCTATGCAACATTCGACAGGCCTGGAATTATTTCAAAACTAGAAGCCAAAAAACCACCTTAGGGGAGATTTACCCACAGTTTTGTTCAAGAAAGACTGCATGAATTTTGTATTTTATGATTTCTGCATCAATTCAATGGCGAAAGGGACGGCACAGAGGCACCGAGATGCAGGTACGACCGCTGTGTCTCACGGGCTACGGCACACGCCCTTAAGGGCCAAACAGCCCTTCAAACAACGTGTGTAAGTCTGCGAAGTGACCCCAGGGTGTGTCCCAGGGCCCCGTATACCCTGAAGGTGGGCTCTGTTGTTGAAGGAAGTGGGCTGCGGCCCGATGTGTTCAGGGAGCCCCCAGTCGGGGGAAGCGCCCCCAGCCCGCAGACCCCCACGGCTCCAGGAGGCCCCTGTGATTCTTACCCGTGGAAGTGCACCGCCTTGCGTGGCAACACCTGCCTCACATCAGGATGGGAAGAAGCATGCGTTGCTCATCCTGGTTTAGGCCCGTTGAGCAAAGAAATGGGAAGCACCCCAATCCGTGTTCTTTAGAAAAAATCTTTATTGTTGCAACTAAAATGCAAACCCGTCACTTACATGGCGAGTTGGGAAACTGTGCAGTTTGACAGTTCTGCGAGGTCACAGAAGACCCTGAGATGCACCCCCCGCCCCACCCGTCATGCATCCACTGTACACACACAGGAAAAGGCATCATACCAAAACACCTCGCTTTTTTTGTTTTTATTTTTGTAAAAATGGTTTATTCCACGGCCATTGTAAAAAATAATGACCCGCTGAGTAAATATTGGCTTAAGGCATATAGCAGAGCAGCTTGCTACTTCTCTAACATACGTGTAACAGGACGGAGCCACCTGCTCCCAGGGATAGGAGGTTAACCAGTTACCCACTTTGAAACGCTAATATACATACACACCCAAACTACTACGTACAGATACAGGACTTCGAAAACAAACGGACAAACCCAACTCAAAAATGCTTACAGCCTGGTGCCTCAGCCGTACCCACACCTCACCGGGGCTCCGCCTCGAGTGCTCCCTCCCCGGAATCTCGCTACGCGGGCTTCTCACATGTGAAAGGCAAAATGTGAAGATGCTGGCAAAGGGGCAGCTCGTGAGCGACAGCTGCCTTTTTCTTGTTAAAAAGCCACTTAATGTGGAGGTCGTAAGTCCCCCTCACAGGAAGAGTCGTGAGCACCATCGGTCCCCAGGGCTCAAGGCAGGGGCAGACATGCCTCGGTCAGCAAGGCCCCCCCAACTGAGACGGCAGCTGGCTGACTCCAAGGGACCGTCACATCCAGGCTGCTTCAAGAAGTGTGGTTTCCAGCAGTTGCCTCGGTTCCAAATTATGGTTTTCTTGAGAAGAGTGCGAACTTGGGATGGTGGAGGCTGATCCCGAAGGTGCACGAGCAGGGGAGCCTGCTTGTCTAGACGTCCAGAGCGTGAGGTATGACCCTGGCTGCCCATCCCCTCGGAATGTCTGAGTTACAGTGGGGACCCAGCTGCACCAGGACAGGCTGGGCCTTGCCAGGTAGCCACCAGAGTGTCACGCCAGGAATTAGGCAAATATCTGTTACTGGAAAACGTCCTAGGAGCCACAGCCACGCAGCGGTCCGGTCACGCAAGGGTGGACTGGACTTACACATGAGGGCACCTCAGTAAGAAGGGGTCTGAGCACGTCAAGCATGTGGCATCCAATCGGGACACAAGAAGACCTAACATGCATTCTAGGACACTTGGGGACAGTGGGGCCGAGGACAGGGTTCTAGCAGATAAAACTGGGGGGCGGGGGGAAGGGGATAACTGGACAGAGTCATCTCCTGTCGTGTGTGGTGAATATCCAAGTGTTCGTCATATATTATCCCACTGCTCTATAAACACAGGCCGAACCTCCTCTCGCGTCACCCACAGTGCCACCAAACCGCCACCGCGCACAGCCGTCCACCTTCCCGGCACTGGCCTGACGCGCAGGCTCGCTGCCAGGTCCTCCGATCCCGGCACTCACTACCTGAGGGTTTATTATTGTATTTTTTGAGAAAGCCTTTGAGGCAAGGCTGACGTCAAAAATCTTTAATACATTATTGGTTTAAGAAAATGCTAGTGCACTAAGGACACCCCTGGGGAGAAAATAAAAAAATAAATAAATACGGGGTGGAGAGGCCCCTGCCATACGGCCTCCACGGAGTCTACCGGGAGGCGCCGTGTGCTGCCCGCCTGGGGCTCGCACAGGCCGCCTTTCCTCTGCGCCACCAGCAGGGCGCTCTCTTTTGCTCTCCTTAAAAGATGGGTTGTGGATTTGGTACGTCAAGGAGGGGAGAAGGAAGAAGTAAAAGAAAAAGGAGGACGACCCACAGCCAGGGAGGGTGGTTTTAGTGCGGAGCAGAGGCCCGCCTGGGTTGTGGCCGGTGGGGCACTGCGCACCGCCCCCGCAGACCCCGGCTTCCCTGCAAACCAGGAGCGGGCGCCGTGGGCGGAGGCTGGCAGTGGGGCAGAGGCGGGTCAGGTTGTGTGTCATTGCTGGACCGGAACTGGAATGAAAGTGGACATTTCCAGTGGAGCCCGGACCCAGCCCGCAGAGCTGCAGGCCTGGCACTGACCCGGCCTCCCCCAGACCCCCTCCCCAGACACTCCAGTGAAAGGGGCTTCAATTTTTTTTTACAACAGCCCCATCCCTTCCAAAAATCACCCCTAAGGAAAAAACTGTGTGTTGTTCAACCATCTGATGCTTAAAAAGAGGTAAAATTTTAGAATGATCAAAGTCTTGGGAGGTGACTTCCCTCAACACAGTTCTGAGGCTGCCTGGGTCCCTTCCCCTTCCTTGCACAGCGACACACCTCTCAGGCGTGGATTTCTACTCCAAATCAAACAGAAACTGCTCCTTCCGGACCTCAGAGGCGGGGTGAAAAGGGTGACCTCTGTCCCTGGGGCAGGGGCCTCGAGGACCCCCGATTTGGAGGATGGCTGCTGAGGGCAGGACACAGCAAGATGGCTGCAACAAGAAGGGGTCGATGGAGAAGTGGACAATGGAGAACCAGTGGGGACACCCTGAGCAAAAGCACGGCCAGGTTTTATACTCCAGAGATGGCCTTTTGCTGTTTTTTTTTTTCCTCCTAAAAATGGGAAAGCTGGCAGGAACTTCCCAAGCTCAGTATATGCACAGCAGAGGAAGTGACTGAGCAAGACAGCGCCCTAAACCCTCACGCCCTCCTCTCCAGGGGACCGGACAGTCCTCAGAGTGGGGGTGTCCTGCCCTGGGAAATCAAATAGAAACTGTGTATCGGGTTACACCACCTAAGGGTGTAGAAAGTTTCACAAGTGCCTAGTCTTGTTTTTGTTTCCCAGGAATAACAAAAAGCTGCTTTTTATAAAGGTTAAAAACAACAATGTGTTGTAACTGTACTTTTTTCAAAAACAAACAAACAAACAAAAGAGAGAGAGAGAAAGAGAGAGAGAGAGATGTATTTGGCATTTTCTCTACTTACTCCTGAATAGGTTAAGGCCCTGAGATTAGATGCTTGTGTTCTTGGGACCACAGGGCTCCTTGAAACCCCAGTGCATCAATCCTCAGTTGTCTCTTGTTAGCCCTTCACAGTTCCAGACTCCACACCTTTGATCCGTTTCTTCTGAGACTGGCTCAGACCCCCCCGCAGCACTGAACGCCAAGGCCAGGCTGCCGGCAGCGCTCTCCGTACTCGCGGTCTGGCCAGCACGTCCGTCAGTGGAAACACACCCTGTAGCAGAGGTACGCGCCGGCTGTGAGGACCGTGGCCATGCACATGTTGACCAGAAAGGGCTTCCAGTGAGTCAGCGCCTGGTCCTGCTCCTCTGTGGGTGGCGACGGCTCCCCCTGGGTAGGACCTGCCCCGGTGGCCCGCCTTCTGACTTCAGTGTCTTGACTCGTGCTGGGGAGTGGGAGGGGCAGAGATGGGTCACTTGCTCTGAGGACAACAATGGCAAAGATGCTATGAGGGGACTCCTGGGAAGAAGTGAGCCACATGTAAATAGCTCAGCGATGCAGACGCCCACTTGTCACTGCGTCCCACAGGGGTCCAGAGCCCTCACAGCCAGGGCAGGGGGTCGGAGACCTGTGGACTCCTTAGTGATGGTGGGTGGGCCTGGGGCTGAGGAGAACCACAGCCGCTGCTGTGGTGACAGGTGCTGACTTTGTTCTGGTCTGCTGTGCAGTGTTCCCTTCAGACCAGGAAGGGGATGTGGGGGGGCACCTGCTCCCACACCCTCCCCTGACAGATGCTGACCCACGGGGCCTGTGTCACCACTGACGGGAAGACACCACATGTGCCCGCCCCACCCCGGATCCCCAGCACTGCTCCGATCCTGCCCAGAGGACAGTCCCCAGGCGCTCCGGATACAGTCAGCAGGCCGCCCTCCTGGGAGAGCAGGAGTGACAGTGGGGGGACAATGCACAGCGGTCTCGGGAGACAGGAGGAGGCCTCCAGGAGCACTTGGGTTTCAGCGCCCGCCCTGCCAGGCCCAGCAGCACTCCCGTTCCCGGTACGACTCTATTTTCCCTGGAGCTCTGTGGCTTCTAGCTTCCCACATACACACTTCCTCGCACACCACCTTCACACCCAGTGTGAAGGGCACTGCTCTCGCCACAAGTCTCCACGAATAAAGAAAGCAGAACACATGATGTGAATGAGACATAAGTCATTTGTAGCGGGGGTCTCTCAGCCTTGGCCCCCTGTGAGTCCTCGACGGAGCACACTGGCCACCCTGAGAATGTCCCCAGAGGCCCTGGAAGGCGGGGCAGTGTCACTGAGGGACAGTCGATGAGCTGCTAGCATATCACATGGCACCCGCCCTGGGGGCCCACTGGACGAGCTTCTCTCTGGACCCAGATCTGGTGCTGCTGGGATAAGGACCCCGCGCACTCAGGTTCATGAATCAGAACTGGGGTGTGGCAATCAGCATTTAGCAAGGTGCCTGGGAGAGAGGCCGACGATGGAGTTACTCCGAGGACCCTCCGTGGGAAACAGTGTAGCCCGCTCTCTCACATACTGCCACTCCAACGGCCGGCCACCCGTGCAGCCAGGTCCCGCTGTTGTAACAGCCACAGAGCATCCCAACACGAGGAGAAAGCAGGATTTATCTAATGGGCAGGTAATCGACTCATCTCTAATTCTCCGCCATTACAAACGATGCTCCAATAAGCACCTCTTCCATACGTCTCTTCGCACACCTATCTGAGAAGTGCCACAGGCTCCTTTTCTAGACACATGCACATACTGGGCCCAAACGTGCACTCGTTTTCACTGTCCTCCAAAAAGGCAGGTACCATGGGCACTGCCTCCACAGTCTCAGGCTGGAGGTAACTCCCAGTCACTCTTCAAGCTTCCACACAGTGCCACCTCCTACAGGCAGCCTTCCCTGACCACCTCAGCGTGTACCTCCATGACATTCTTGGCCACAGGCTTCCACTGCAACTTACTCCTCCCTTCCAACAACAGGGGCTGGAGCATAGATGAGGAGCTATATTCTAGTTATTTCAGAATTTCATGTGCATCAGTATGTTCTTGATAACCTTTGTTACACTCTAGGGAAGCAAAATAGCAATCTACTTGGTCAAGACTACACAAAAGGTTAAGTTCCCAAAGGACCATTCTGGGGGGTGAAGGTACACGGTCCAGCCTGGACATCCCATTTCAGGATAGGCCGGAAGCCTGGGGGAGGGCACTGTCACCACAAGGCAGAAAGACTCCCAGTGGGCTGAACTCCTGATTCCAACGAGCACCACAAGGTGGTGCTAGAAACCCAGAGGTTGGGCGCTTCCCAGGGCAAACCTGTGGCTCAGTACCCAGGCTTGGCCAGCCAGCAGGGGCCCCATTCCCCTCAATGTAAGAACACTGTGTGCTAACTAACAGAAGGCCGCATCCACGGGGCCTCAATACCAACACTTGCTTCTGAATAGAAGCCTGTTTACCCTCACCCCCCACATGCCAGGATCCCCTCACTTTACCTTTCCAGGCTGTGGGGGACACTTAAGGGGGTTCTGGTGTCTTCCTTGATTGGGCCGTCTTCTTTATCCTCCTCGGACTCATCCTTTACCCACTGGTGGTTTGGGAAGAACTCCTTGCATTTCCCATTGTGTGGCTCCAGGATACGTTTGGGTGGCCGGGGAGGTGGGGGGACATGCTCGGGTGGGGGCTCCAGGTCCTCGTGGGAGAGCTCCTTCCACTGCTCCTGGAGAAAGCAGCAGGAGAAGGCCCATCAGCGTCCGCGCCCGAGGGCTCTGTCTGGAAGCCCGGTCCCTTTCAGGGAGCAGGCGCCCTCTCTCTGCTTCTCGGGCCCCAGACACGCACGAAGATGGAGGCCGGAAAACAAACTCTGCTCTCCCTATCGCTGTTCTCCATGGGAGCTCTTCAAAGGCAGAAACTAGAACCTGGCGAACACTGCCACGACTTTCTAACGACTTAGACATAAGGACAGCTATTTGCTCTGGCACATGATAGTGTTCGAATCTTTACAACTGACAGCTAGGTCCCTTCTTCAGAGACAAAAATCGCAACTCAGCACACCCGGCTGGGAGCCCGCGCAAGGCTGACCTGCACTGAGGAGTCTCCCATGATGTATTTGGCACCTTCGATCACAGCCAGGTAGGAGAAACGGAGCTGGTCTGCTGTCTGGATCAGTCCCATGCGAAACTTCCTCATTTCTAACAGAACTTTCTTGATATCGACAGAAGAAGGGTCTTTCCTTTTGTCCATCTGAAAGCCAGAGAGGAGACACAGCTGAGCCGGCCCTGACTCCCCAGTGCCCGCCCAGGAAACAACCGCAGCGGGGCAGGCAGAGCCCTGGAAACCGCGAGCGCCTGCAGCAAAACCGGGACCAGGCAAGCACCTGGGGAAGAAGGAAGGGCGGGGGGATTTTTTGCATCTCTATGGATTTCACTTTAAAATTAAGAACATGCCTTCTAGCAAAGTTATTAAGGGTAAAGCTGTTTTTAGGGAAGGGAAGATCGCAGGTCATTCATTCACTGCGGAGACAAGCCCAGAGTGGCGTGGCCAGGCCAGAGTAGAGGTTCACACACGGTCCCTTCTCTTCCCCAGGTCTTCGGGCCTCCTTACCAGCAAGAGACAGGTGTCGGCCAGACAGAAGGTCCCCGACCTGCCGATGCCGGCACTGCAGTGCACCACAACGGGGCCGTGCTCTGTGCTGAGTGACCCCGACTCTCGGACTTTGAAGAGAAAGTTCAGGAACGAGGCTGGCGATTCGGGGACCCCAAAGTCAGGCCATGTGGTATAGTGGAAATGTAGGATCTCTCGGGTTTCCTTAGTCTGAAAGAGAAAAATACTCATGACGATTCCAAGAGAATGATCTGTCCAGAAATCACAAATTCCAAGTAAGCACCAAGTGGCTTTCCACCCATTCACGGTAAGAGCAGCTTTACTGCTCAGATCTTCTCCCACAGGGCGTGTGCCCCGCCTCCCACACCTACAAACAACAAGCACCGCCGTGCCAGGCCCTGTGCTCCCGCTGCAACTTCGTTTCCTTTAGGGTGGAACAGTCTCACCCCCTGTTCTCTAGTGTCCCTCTCACCTCTGTTGTCTTCATTGGTTTCAACTGATTCCTCTCTGCCCCAAAATGGTGCTGCATTGCCACACATGACAACCATGACATAGAGCAGCGCAAGGTCTCACCCGGAAGAGTGAAATCGTAAACTGTGTGGATGGGGCGGCAGCTCTGGGCAACTCAGGGCCTTACAAGACTATCTGGACATCTCAGAGGATCGTCATTTTAGAGAAAAAGGCAACCGAGCACGTCAGCTCACTGAGCTCTCACACCAGCCCTTCTAGGCGTGGACTCCCATCGCCCTCCCCTCTCCCAGATCAGGAGGCTGAGGCTCCAGGCCGACCCTCCGTAAAGTGGCACAGCAGGAGTTGCAGTCCAGGTCTGCTTGACTCCAGAGCCCACACTCAGAACCTGCTGTAGGTAACTTCTGAAAGGGGCACGCTGGCCCGTGTCCCAGGGTTTGCCCCCTAGCCCCGTCTGCTCCCGGGAAGAATGGCCTCTGGTGCCACTCCCAGCCCGGCTCCTTCCTCTGGGCCTGAGAGAGTCCACTCCCAGAGGGGACCCCTGGTACCCAGGAACAAGGATCAAAATGCAGTTCTCAGGGGGGAGAGAGGGCTCAAGAGCTTTACTAGGCTAAGAGCACAGAGCAAATGGGAACCAGGTGCTGGGTAAGCAAGGCCTTGCTACAGCGGGCACAGGAAGGGTTAAAGGAACCTCGCCGGCCGTGAGGGTCTCCTACTAAGCGGTGCCAAGGGCCATGGCAGTACCTCGGTCACCTGGAGAGCAGCTGATGGAGAAAGGCTTTGGGCCAGAGACCTGCTTACCAACACCGTCTTCCTTCGTTTGGCAAATGTCCACAATGTGTCCACCTTGTGCCAGCCACCATGCCAGGCACACGAGATAAAGATACCACCCTCACCCTCCCGGTGCTTATGGCTTAGTTATAACAACATCCCCCAACCCTCGTGTGATGAAAACGTGTAAAAGGACCACAACAAACACCAATGACCTAAAATCAGAGCATACCACCCACACTCACCCTGCTCCAGCTACTACACACACCAGGACCTTTCTGCAGAAGCGGGAGAGATCTGCCTATGACATTAGGGTCGTTCACAGACTCGTACTAAGTAATTCCACACTTTCCTCCCTGGAAAATGAGCTCCTGATACTTTAATGCCTTAACAGAGAAATGCCTCTTCTATTTTTTAGAGAAAGAAAAACACTTAAGGATATATTTTAAAAACTGAGTGAGAAGAAAACACGTCAAAAGTGAGCTCTTTTAATCCTGAAGACAGTGGGGATTACCTTTTCTTTATACCCAGCCTCGCACCAGCCCACCTCTTCCTGAGAAATCCATTCTGGACCTGTGCAAACAGATCCTCCTAGTGAATGTCAAGGCCTCTGAGCAAGTCGTATTTGCACCGACAGCACAAACCTCTTTTGCTCCATCCAAATTCCATTTCCCTCAACAGGCAGGAGAAATATTCTCAAGAGTTTACCAGAAGTCACTCTTAGTATGTCAGGCTTGCAAACGCTAAAAAGCATTTAAAAAGTCTCCTCCATAATCCTCCAGGCACATTCCAACCCACTGCCAGCACTATTCCTGAAAATCCTCTCAAACCTCTCCATAAATCTACGGCAGGCTACGGCAGGGCAGGCTACGGCAGGGCTCATGGCTGGGCTCCCGGCTGGCATTATTGGAAGAGGAGGAGAGAGACAGCACCCAGAGAAGCTGCATTCCTCAAAAGCCACAAGATTTTAACCTGTTCTCTGCCTTGCAGTAACCTGTGCTAAGCTCTTCAACTGCAGGGGTTGTGGTGACCATAAGGCACCTCAGCCGTGAACATGACTCCAGAGCAGATCCTTCCTCTTTTCTCCCTGCCCCGCAAACGCAATCCATGCGGTTGCCGTCCCCCACTTTACTCCAGACTGGCCCTCTGTACTGCTCCTCGAGTGATCCCATGCGACTTCCCCACCCCCCACACTGTGAACCCTTCCTGAGCAGAGGAAACAGACAGGGCCAGCCACGTGCCCCTGCCCGGAGTCTGACAGTTTGGCTGATCACCACGACTGAGGGGGTCCCCAGGAGCCACCTTGAGCTACGGCTCCTCAGAGCGGTGGCCCAGGTGAGTGATTCTGAACCCTTTAGGGGCAGGGCCTGCGGTGGTGCTGCTCCTTAGCACATGCCTTGCTGTGTTCCAGCACCATCTTTCAATAATAGCCAGCAGGTGGTGGTAGCAATTCTTCCCACAACAAACACACCCCAGACCTTACCTAGAAAACTTACACCGGCTATGAAACTGGGCTCAGCCCTGGAAGGGCCCCTTTCCCCTCCCTTCAGAAGAGGCTGTAGACTAGGAAAGAAGGCAGAGTGCTCTGCTGGGATTTAACTTGCAGGCCACCCCTTCAATCCCTGTGCGCCGGCAAAGACAGGAATAGGTAAGCTTTAGGTAAGAAACTCCCTTCTCCCACGAGCCAGTGTCCCTAGCGTTAAAGTTGAGAGAGACAGAGAGAGAGGCCTGTGGGAAAGGAGGTACTTATGACCACCTCCTCTTGTGCCTGAGGGCACCCTCACTCACACGATGAGGAAGCAGGTTAAGCTCTGCTCACCATAGCGCCAAAGTTGCGTTTTGCTCAGGGTAGACAAAATCCACACAAACTGGCCTAGGCAATAGCACCCAAAGGCAAAGACACCTCAACTGGCAGCCGCCGGAAGTGCTGCGGTGCATGCTGCACTCACCATAAGGTTCTCCAACTCCAGCTGTCGTACTGTATAATATGACTTAATGTCTTCAGAGATCAGCGTTAATTTCAAATTTGTGTCTTCGAAAACCATTTCTTTTTCTTCTTTTTGTGGCCAATACTGTGCACATTTTAACTAGGGGAGAAAAATAACACCGAATTATCATGAGCAATGGACTATTTTTCTCGGACAGAAGGTTTGAAGTCTCTTCAATGAGCTTTATAACAACCCAAAGGCCCGAGGGCTTCGACCTGGGAAGTCACCATCTATGTAACCTGCCTTCCCTTTGGGAAGAGGGGTGTCTGTGAAGACCTGGCTGGCAGGGCTGGTCGTGCAGGCAGGGGGCAGACTTCCAAACCCAGCGGCTCCCTGAGAACCCACACAATGAAGTGTCTGAAGGGTCAGATCCTTTCGTTCCCTATCACCTGCCAGGGGAGCCTCGGTGCACAAAAGCTTCAGTCTCTCACAAAGTACTTTAGCCATTTCAAAGACTGCCAAGAATCTGATCGGTGCTGTCGGCATAGTGAAGATGCTCTACCCTGGGGAAAATAACAGGCTAATTAAAAACACGGCTGGAAGGGACTCCATGTGAAACACTTGGGAAGGCGGAAGGGCTGTGATCGAGCGAAAAGCACTGAGCGAAGGCCTGGAGGGGCTCCTCCGGGGCCTGGGATCACACGCTGCCTTGCCCGCCCTTTCATTCTGGTTTGGTTCAGTTCAGGAAAATACTTTTGATGCTCTAGCTTAATAATTTCAGAAACTACTTGATGGCCTTGGTTTAAATGTAACGTTAACTTTAAAGCCAGGAAACTCCCAAAGATTTGGTTTCATTTAGAGTTTAAAAATAAGAATGACTCAAATTTTATGGCTTACTTTGCTGGAGCTAAATTTCTGTGCCAGTCACCTACCATTTCTGCTCACTAATAACTGTTCTGGACAAAACAGCCAGTGGGTAGGGACTAAGCCGCAAGATCTATGAGCCAGCGGGACGGACAATCCGCCTAAGTAGATAGAGGGAACCTCAAAGATGCTGTGTCTTCCATGAAATGAAAGATCAGTGTGTGTAAATAGCTCTTTGGGAAATGGTACATATTCAAGACCCTTGGGATTCAACATGCATTCGCCCACTCGCCACCTCCGAGGCAAAGGATGATTGTGTCTGAAATGCCACAGTAAGTGGTGACAGTCCCTCTGGGGCCAACTGTCTGTCAGGACAGATATTTCGTGCCCGGCAGTGACAAGGTGGCCCAAGGGAAGTGCTGCGGGGGAACCACTATGCATGTGCCATGGGAATTCAGAAGAGGTAAGCGTTTCAGGCTGGCTGAGGTTACGGGAAAGAGATCAGAGAAGGCTCGACGGAAGAAGCGGGCTGTGAAGAGGCACGTTTGGAAGGAGGGCTACGACTTCCTAGGCGCCGACTACAAAGAAGCTTGTCTCAGAGCAGCAGTGGGAGATGGGCCGGCGGAGGCCCAGACCACGACTCTGGCAGCGGCCTGGGAGCCTGCGGCACCACCTGGGCACTGAGGAGGCAGGAGGCTCGTGAGGGTGAACGCAGAACGACAAACACCCGACGATCCCGCTCTGCTCAGTCTGCACTACACCCCCAAACAAAACAGAAACAGAAACAAACCAAGCAACACAAGCACGTGATGCCAACAGAACATCCGGCTCCACGGTCCCTGAACAGAAGGCTGATGGGGCTTCCTGAAGAGCGTGGACACAGGCCCGTTTGAAAGTCTTGGCCAGTTTTACCCACGTCACCCACTCCACACAATGGTGACGAACTGCCAAAGACAAATGAGGCCCTGGGATGGGGCCGATCTGTCAGCACCGCGGCACCTCTGCCATCAGAACATGGAAGCGTTATAGCCATAGAACATGGCTTGCCGTCCTTGTTTGGCCAAAGTAGGTGGGGCAGCTGAAAATGAGGCTTTAGGAGACCTTTAAAGGAGGCGTCTACTCCCAAACTTTAAAGAACTGACCTTGGTAATTCCTTAAGACCCCAGAAACGAAGAGAGCGCCCCTTGTGGACACCCAACGCGGCAAGTGGAGTGAGGACGGGGCAAAGCGGCGGAGACGCAGAACGGCCAGTGGCCACCAAAGAAGAGGCCAGTATTTTCATGTCTCACGGGCAGGGCCGCTGAATTTTTAAAGCTCACCTCCACAGAGCAAGCACTCACTCTCAAAATCAAATATAAAGCCTGGTAAATCTCTGTAGCCTGGGTGAAGACCAAGACTCTGGTACCCTACAACTGAGGAATTCTGGTAGCACTCTGTCAATCGAATGGTGTTTATTTGTGAAAACTCTTAGGCATCTATAGTAACATGCCACACTCTGCTCTGTCATTTCCTGTAGAAATTTCTGTCTTAAACACACAAAACAAAACAAAACCAACAAAAAAGCACAAGCTCACTACTTCCTGTTATCCTGTTAAAGTGATACATGCAGACTGGAAAGGGGGTTTTTTGGAAAGCGGTCCTGCACCAGGACTCAAACTGAGGCCTTGGATCGACACGGAAAAGCTGTGCAGCAGGGCTGTCCTGCGGCCATGAAGGCGATGGGGGAGGGGAGAGCGTCCTTGGGACCTTCCACAACAGATGGCCAGGCAATCTGAAGAACCACCTACGGAAGGCACCTGGGCTCCCCCGTAACAGGGGATTTGGCTTTCCCAATGAATGAGGAACACAGAGAACTGAGCGGAGTACGAGACATGGAGGAGGCACAAAAGCACCTGAAATCAAAAGGCATCTTTAATAGGACTTCAGGAGAGAGACGAAGATCGTATTTCTGGAACAGTGAGGTAACCTCGCCTTGTTTATGTCCCTTGTCTCGAAGACTATCTCCACCCTTACATGTACAGCACATTCCAAAATGACACTCCTCAAGCCAGCATTGAAATCAACCCACTGAGAACTTTGGCCACTCGGATGCCCACAGTCTGACACAATCATTTTCTGCACACTGTTTTCCAGGAAGCCCGGGGTCCCAACAGGGTAACAGGCAGGTTTGCCAAAAATAAGAAGAGAACATCCTATACTATTTGGTGGAGGAAGGAAACCAGAAAACAAATATACATTAAATGGAAACACTCTGTAAGCTGGTTTTACCACAAGCTGTGATATAGTTTATAATTAGATTAGCTGAGCAAATAAGACATTGTTTCTTCTCATAATTTTTCCCAGTCAGCCCCATGGGGGTGATAGTGTTGATGCTGAATTGAAAACGTCAGATCACGTGTTGCTTTTCATGCCAATTTTCATGCCCCAATGACCCCGAGTGAAAAGAACTGTTATAAAGGAAAATAGGGACCACTGCCACGTTATCTCAGTAACTACAACAAAACCAACCAGTCGTGTTTTTGTAACAGCCAACAGAGCAGTCCAAGGGAAATGCTGTTACAGTGGACTTACGGTCTGTCTGGGGTCAGCCCGGGGTGGGACACAACCCAGAGCAAGGCCTAGTGACGAGCACGTAACTGCAGTACTGGGACACTGCTCCTTGTTGCACCGTGACAACAGCGGCTGAAGCAAACCGTGCAAAACAACAAAGGTTTTTACCAGAACTTTTAGCAACAAGTAAATGAAAAACAAACGCTATCCTATCTGATGACTTTGAATAAATAAGTCTTCATTTACAGCTCCCAACCTTTAACATCATCTAGAACAGTCAACCAGGAACAATTCTGCTGCCGGGGGAGAGATGACAGTGTCTAGAGACATTTCTGGTTGCCACAGCTGGGAGCGGAGACCAGAGAGGCTTCCGCCCAAACGCAGGGCGCCCGGGCTGGAAGGCCCTGACCCGCCGGAGCACCGGCAGAGGCCGCCCCTTTCACTTTCCCTGGCGGAGGGTCTGCTACGGAAACCTAACGTTCTGTTTCTTTATTCAAAACTGCTGACAGGAGTGGTGACAGGTGGGGGTTTGCTGCACAGTTGCAACTTCACATTTTACTAATCAAGCCACTGAAGCAGGAAAAAATTAAAATCACTTTCACTGAAAATTTTTTTTTCTAAGAAGCATTAATTAATTTCAACACTCAGGTAAGTACTTCATTATTATTGAGCAAATAAATACTTTCCTTTAAGAATTGGGGACAGAGGCAAACTGCATGATTTTAAACATGTGCTTCAGAAAGAGGACTATTGGCTGTGAGTGACAGACCGTTTCTGTGGGGGGAGGCAAAGAGGCTTTGTGGTAAATGCCTCCTGTTTGCACTGCTGAAGTTGCCTTTGATGTGTTACTGCTGTGCACTTTATTTCTACTCTGTGGGGCCATGACTGTGCTTTCTTTGGAGGGGTGGCTTCTCTGGAGCCCTCCCGTCCTTCTGGCGAGCCCCGTCTGCATCCCAAGGCAGCTGGGGAGTGCGAGAGCAGTGCCCGTCGGACCCCAGAGAGCACAGCACCGGCACCTGGCCAGGCCTGGCACACAGTTTCCTGCTCCTGAGCACCCAGGTCTCTAGAATCCTCAGCTCACCTTCTCCTGGAGCCTCATCTCTGAGGCTGCAGAGCCCCAGCTAAGCTGGTGGTGTCAGGGGAGCAGGAAGAGGCCCAGGGGGTGGGGATGTGGCATCTGTTTGCTGTGTTGAATGCTATCCTTGTGCCGGGCAGGCGGGCATTCTCATGCGGAGGCAGGGCTTTACCAGGCAACCCCGCAGACTGAGCCATGTGGGAAGGGGCAGCGCAAGCCACAGCTGACCAGGAGGGGAAGGGATCTGAGGATGTCTGGAAGTGGTGTGAGAGTGGGCACTGATTCAGGTCCTTCTTCCAGAGAACATGGCAAGATGGCAGGAAATTTAAAAAAGGAAAAAGTTTGTTTGGCCTGGAGTTTGCGGTTGGAGGTGGGACAGTGGGGTCCAGGTTAACAAGGGGGGCCACGTTGGTGCCATGCTCGACCCTACAACCACCTCACAAATTACTGGAAAACAGCGCGCGGAAAAACCCCGGAAGGGTTTTCAGCTTGGAAAAGGGGTGGTGAGACTGGGTATAGAAGATCATTCGGATGCAGGATCAGAACAGAAAGAGGAGCATGCATGCAGCCTCAGAGACAGATGCCCAGGGGTGACAGCCTGGGCAGGGACCTCTAGTCCACGTGCCACCCGGGGGATGTTTTCAGAGTCGCAAATAACTTGGAAGCAAGGGTGGCGCAGATCCTGAAGCAAACTCAGAAGCAGACAATGCCCACACTGAAGAGCGCCTTAGGAAGCCAAGCGGCTGGGATTTCACGGAGGCAAATCCAGAGGCCAGCTGCCCCTGTAGTCAGAAGATGCAGCGGACACCACCTTCCAAGATGAAACAATACTTCCACAGCTCCATGAGGCGGCAGCCGTGCAGGGGCCAGAGGGGAGGGCCGCAAAGCAAACACCTCGAACTCTGGAGAGAGACTCACTGACCGGTGGGGGGAGAGCAGGCGGACAGGGAAATTTCACTTTTGTCCCTCTTTTTAACTCACTTATTTATCTGACTTGCTTACAATAAACATGTATTTATATGATGCCTCTTTAAATTTTTTTTAAAATAGAAAAGACAATTCAAAGACATCTAAAGGCAATTCAAAGAAATAGACAAACTGTTACCACTGTGATGGATGCACTGGCAGATGGATACAAAAGTACGTGAACCAGGGGTGGGCTGGGATGGGAGTAAAAGACAGAAAATGGTACTTGAACAACAATTTAAATAAATAAATAGATAGATAGATAGATAGATAAATAAATGTGGGTGAATGTGCAACTTACCGATCCCTTCTCCATCACTCTGTTGAGCATGACCACGCCCCTGCTTTTCTGCTCCCAGACCATCTCCCAAAAGTGACCGCACGTATTAGGCAAGGGGCCCTGCAAACACACAACCCACAGAGTGCATGCCATTTACACGGAAACGTACTGCAGTGTGAGCTCATCACCAGCAATTAGAGGGTAGCAGTGCTCTGCGGCAGACCGGGAGCAGAGGCTGGGACAGGGACCCGCCTCTGGCTGCCTAATGAATGGTCCGTAACCACAGTGCTATGTTCGAAAATGTGGTAAAAGGTCATTTCCGCATCTCAGGGCTGGTGCAGGGCTGACCAACAGAGGAGAGAAAAGTGCTGACTCTGCTTTCTGGTTCGGGCTGGTTGGCCAAGGGGCTGGCTAGAGAGATTGGGCGAAAACACCACTGTGGGCAACAGGCAGCATCTGGAAGTGATCAGTGGGGACGCTCCAGTGGTTCCAGTTCCAATTACTTATCTGTGTGACTGTGGACAAGTCACTTTGCCTCTCCTGCCTCAGCTCCTCCAACTATTTCACTGGACTAACCACAGCATCTATGCAGAGGGTTTTGAAAATTAACTCTGTTCACATACATGAAGGCCTTCCCACCGTATCTGGAACAGAGTGAACAACCACTAAAACGTCAGCTATCATTATTACTGTTAATGGTAAACCTGACCCCAGACAGCCTTCATCCTTGGACCACGGATGCCGACACACAAATGGTTAGTCACGTGCTCCGAGGGGCATGGTATCACCGGGGCGTGGTGGGGTGACTGCCAAGCAGCTGGCCTGCCTCCCTCTAGCCCACCTGGCAATGACAGAGATGTTTACTGGCTACAAGGGTGCAGATGCTTCAATTCTGCCTCAGTTTTTAGTAAGGCCTGGGAGGGGCATCGCCTGTCACCTCCATGCCAGAAGGCGTCATATCCTCCCCTCCAACCAGCACTAGGATGGTTTCTGTTCTCACCTATTTTCATCCAAACTCTCCGTATTCTTTACGTGTTTGCCCTGGAACCTCACATCCTCCCTGCCCAAGGAGACCCTCAGTTTTCTCGTTCTTCCCTGAACTCGCCCCAGCCGTGCTGTCCAGAAGTCCGCACACCCTCGCGTGTGCTGCAGGGCTCAGCAGGGTCACATGTGCGCCTTCCTCCCAGCTAACAGGAAGGGGGCTCCTGGAAGACAGTCATCACTCAGCCTCCTGGCTGGCCACCTGGGCCCTTCATCCTCTGACCTGGGCATGAGGACCCCTCACGGTCCTCCCACAACCTTCCCTACCTGCCCACCCCACCCCAATTTAGAATGGGTCCGAGAGAGGGATTAAATGTCACGTAAGATCTGAAAGGGTACACAGCAAACTTAGCCAACACTTCCTGGGGGAGGTGAAAGCAGCATTGCTTTTTACATTTCTGTACGTCTGGTTCTTAAAAAGACTTGTATTAGCTGCATAATGAAAATGAAAATAAAAAGTGGGCAGGGCTTTGTGGCTTGGAAAACGTTTTAGGCATAACACCTAGAGGTGCAACTTTGGGGTTCAGGCTGCTTCTGTTCCTTTTGTAAATCCCAGGGCAAAGGGGGACCATGTCAGCAGCTGGATACATCCATGTTGCCCCCCGACAAAAGAGCTCCAGGTGTGCCAAGCAACTGCCAGGGCGTGGGGGTGAGGGCAGGGTGGAAATGTTCCCGTGGTGCTTCCTGTGCTCCGTCTGACTTGATACACCCTACCTGTCTTTGCTTTGGGCTTCTTAACCCCACACCAAAGTTGAACAGCTGAACTCAGGTTCCTTACTCACCCTTACTCAGGGTGTAAGACTTGGCTTCTTCTACAAAGAGAAGTTCCCAAGAAGCCACTTTTGCCTGAACCTCTTCTTCACCAGGGAAACCCACCAGGGGTTCCCCTCATCAGCGCTCCCCAGCCGTGCAGAAGTGAACACTGCATGGCTAACATTCCACACCAACAGGGAGGCATCTGGGCGGATTTGATTATGGACAAGGGGATGGGGACAGGACGAAAAGGGGCAGAGAAGAAGGGCCGCAGTGCGTATGCCCGCCTCCAGCTCCACGGCCCAAAGCAGCCCTTTGTTCATAGCGCTGTGTGGCTTTACCATCATTTTAATTTCCAAATATTAGGCAGAAGTCTGATGCTCAAACTCACCCTACAACCCAAAGCCGTGGGTTATATGGAATTAGAAAACAAAAAGAGAGAAACTTAAACTGTTTAGACCATTTTACAGGTAACAGATTAAGACTTGAGAAAATTCATAAAAAAAAATTCCTTTACCCCCATTCCCAGATACCCACTGTTTTTGGGTCATATACCAGTAAATATTTCACAGGAAGATCAATTATTAAACTACTTTTATGATTCTTTGCATAAAGATGCCGAAAGCTGACGGGAACATTAGAGAAGAAGAATTCAGACAATCCTGGGTTTACCTGAGTAAGAATGTAACTTCTTTGCGCTTCTTCCATTTTTATCAAACTAGCATTGATGTAGTCGTTATCTTCTTGATGTAGTTTAATCCGACTGTGGTCAACTGAAAGGCAAACCAGAGCTTAGTGCGGGGCGACCCAAATGTCCGCACAGGCAATGCACCCCCAGGGAAAGCAAAGACAGCAGGTGGGTGGCACTAAGGGCGTTCACAAAGGGGCCTCAGTGCTGTTCACTAAGGACAGCACTAGGGGTGGCACTAAGGGGCCGGTGCCATGCTTTTAACTTGAGATCAGGCATCATACGGGGATAACTCGCACTTTCAGCAAGGTTTCTGGAGTGTCTGAAACTTAATGCCGAACAGCAACGGAGGCAAACCGCACTAAAGCGTGGACTGTGTCCTATCTGGGAGAGCTGTGCTCAGGCCATATCTTCCCACGACACTTATTGCTGTCCTTGCAACTTGGCAGGCTGGGGAGGGGGTCTCAAGAGATCTGTTTTCTGATGCCTAATACTGGGTGGAACAGAGGTAGGTCTACAGTTGTTCATATGGAAAACAACATAATAATAAGTAGATAATACAGGAATAAACTGTTTCATGTACTCAAACTGCACACCTACTTTTGCCCCTCTGTATACATACTTTTATAGGTAGGATTTACAAGCACACCTCAACTTAACTTACATCCAAAGGTTTAAAGATTAAATGACCCAAATATATAACAGTGTAAAAAGTCACAGCTCGAATTTGTTTTTTAAAATTCAAGCACAACATTCTTAAATGATTCTAAATTTTCGAAGTCAAACTCTGTCATGATAAGAAACTTTTGAAAGACAGTTTACCTGAAAAAAGTAACTTTGAATCCAAAACACTGAAACTGTATTAAATGAAACTGGCAGAATAGTTTTTAAATATAAACTCTCATTTGGAAGCTCTGCCTAGGTTAGTGAAAAAGCAGGACCACTGGTCCCCCTTTGACCATGACTTTGTCATGGGAACAATGGTTGTTCCCGCAGGGCCACTTTCCTGATCCTGCTAGTGCAGCTAACAAGAGCAGAGGGGCATCACCACTTTGGGTACAACGCAAAGGATGAGGAACTGAGGTGACCACTCGTAAGCAGTGCCTTCTCCCTAAGCCCATGGGAGAGGAAAGGTAAGCAGGGGTCAGTGGTTTGGGGCTTTCTGTTCTAAGAATCCCCAAAAGACATTCTTGAAAATTAAGCACCATTTGGAACAAGGTTTCTCCCTGTGGAGGGTTAATACAAACCTAAACGCTTTGGTAACGTGTGCATGGATCATGGAGATAAAAGATCTCAACAATATTACTTGAGTGGCATTGGCGGGCTCTGTGAGCGGGTTCCCACGGCACTGGGCGGCCTTGGGCAGAGAGCTCCTCTTCCGAGTGCCGGGTCTTCCACTTGCCCAGTGGAAGATAACAAGATCCTTTCTACCTTGCCCCTTTCCCCCATTCCCTAGAACCTTAAATGCACACCACTCCTTCTACTGGGGAGTGGAGGTAGGGGGAAACAGGAAAAAATGTGAGAGGTGAGACTGGGGGTAGAAATGTTTCACAATGTTTCCTTGGAAGAATGTTTTAGATGATTTTTTTCTCTGTAAAACTGGCTCATAAAATCATTCGGACAAGCACTGATCAAAGATGTAGAAAAGGAATACTGAGCACTCTGTCGACTGAGAGCAAGTACAGCCAAGCCGGAGACCACGGCATCTCCCGGCACCGCTGACGGACGCACGCAGTGCGCAGTTCCAAGCTCAGGGCACCGGCCAGCACCTCGCAGCAAACCACACGGGCAGTTCTTCTAAGAGAGCACACCTTCTGCCATGCCGCAGCCTAGACGTGCTACCTCAAGAGCTGCAGGTACTGGTGCACAGCCATCTGTCACCCGATGAGCTAAGGCGGCACTTCAGAAGTTGCTGGCGTGTGCCTCCATTCAGTTAATGACGAGCTCCACTACCGCCAGCATTCAGAGAGACACACTGGGCTACAAGGCTGATGTCACTTTATTTCATCTTCACACAATCCAACAGGATCGAGGTGACTGCTGCTTTATGGTGGTCACCAACGTGCCCAAAGGCGCTGCGGAGCTTTAAGTGGCAGGCCAGGACGGTGGTGTGGCAGTGGTCAGAGGCAGACTGCTCTGTACCAATCCGGGTCCACCTCCACTCCCAGGAACCTGGGCTGTGCAGTTCAGGGCGGGAGGCGCCGCGGGCTCTCCGGCAGAGGGCGCCGAAAGCCACTGCCCACAGCCTCGGGAGCAGTGTGATCCAGGAGGCGAGCAGGAAGAGCCTGTCTGAGGAACGACCCACAGAGTCCTCTACCCCGGCGGAGAAGACTGCCACAGGAGGTGCGGGCAGCTACAGCCAGCTCTGACCAGCAGTGTCTAAAAACCCCAGCGGGGAGTCACAGAGGCTCCGGTGGCCGGCAGGAGATGGTGAAGCTCACGTTCTTTCCTCGGTTCCAGCGTGTCTTGCTTTATACACACTCTGACATGTTTACTTATTTACTTTCAAGGTTATCAGTAGACTGAGAGCCAAGTGCTCAGGAGGCAGGGGAGGCTGCCAAGGGCCCGCGGGCAGACCGAGAGCTAATGGCAGGAAAGAGCTAGAAACACGATGGCGGCAGGGTGGGACCTGACACGCAGAGCGGACTCGAGTACTTCGTGGAGGGGTGAGTAGCTCCCACCCCTGACTGCCTGCACAGGGCGCCCTTCTACTTCAATACGAGGTTCGGGGCCTGAGAATACTGCTGCTGAATCACCCAGAAAAGGCTGCATTATGCCGGCTCTACTCTGCTTCAGCTGGTAGGAAAATGATTCATCAGAAAAACAGTCAAAGCTAAAAAAAGTGCTCTGAACTTAGCTGAATTTTCCAGAAACCGAAACCTTACCCTTCTACAATGGTGGAAAAACGAACCATTACTATAAGTCTCTAATGTCTTTGCTAGAGGAAACAATCAAGTCATAAACTTCTATTGCTGTTGCTTTATTACCAAGCCCCGGGGTGAAAGGAGTCTCGAGTGGGAGGCCCTGCAGTCGAGAAAAACCCACAGGAAAAAGACCGAGACTGGAAACGGTGATATGAATACTTACAGGGGCTGACATCTCTGTACCTGTTTCGGTTTTTGTTCTTGGGAAGCTTGGCCACTCTACAAGGGAAGTCACTGGCTTTGTGTCGGATATCCTACGAGAGAAGGATAAAGAGTTCTCTTTTGAAATTGCTGGCATCGGGAATTTGTCCAGACACTGAACCGAGCGTGGGCGACGTGCCAGGTGCTAAGGAAGACCCAGCGCAGAAACAGACATCAGAGAGAGCCGGGCTGTGTGGGAAACTCAAGGTGACGATGCAGAGGCGCGTACAGGGTCACGAGAGAAACAGAGAAGAGGAACAACCCCACGCCTGGCATACGAGGAAGTGGCTCGGGGCCGGGAGGTGGACGCACGGGGAAGAGGCATGGAGACGGAAGGTGCGTGGGGGCTGCGGGGGCCCCCTCTCAGGAACAGCCAGCAAGCAAAGGCACGGGGCTGAAGTCCACATCCAGTGCCAGGAACAGTGAGTGCACTGGTGGGGCTGAATGACGGACGGCTAGAGCACACAGGTGGGTGGGCCGGACCTTGAAGAGCCTTGAACGTCAGACCTGCAAGTTCCACCTATAACTTTTATAGAGGTACTATTATTAAGAGCAGATAAAAGGCACTTTATGCCAATAACCTATCCAACTGCTTTCCTAGGAGACAGTAAACAAATCCCATTACATCCAAATGTCAGAAAGAAGTACCTGCATCACACCCCCTGCTAGGCCCAGTCGTCCCCCCAGAACACCACCATAATCGCATTCAAGAAGCTTTCCTAATTTCTATTTTATTATCAAAAGACAAACCCACACAACAGTGTGAATGCACTTAATGCCACTAACTGTACACCTAAAAATGGTTATAATGATACATGTTGTTATGTGTATTTTATGACAATTAAAAAAAAGACAAACCCACAAAGGGAGAACAGGGGAGAAGAAAACAGCAACAGAATTTTGAAAGCTGGAAACCAGACTGATTAGGAGCTGCTAAGACTTACAGAGCAGCAGCGGGGACAGCAGAGAACCACCCTGGTTTCCAGCGCAGAAGCCTCTGAAGGCTCAGGCAGGCCTGCCTCTGGACAGGGGGGTGGGACTCATTACAGGGGGTGTCTGTCAAGGGTGGAGCCGTCCAGAGGAGCAGGATCTCCACCCACCCTGCTCCCCCTCCTGGTACCTGGAGACTGCTGCCTCAGGAGTCTGCAGAAATCTGGAGATTTTCTGGAAAATGTGTATCAGGAGGTAGAGTGCTCTCTAGGTTATAGAAGAGTAAAGACCAAAAGGTACCACCACCACGGTGTGCAACGGGCAACCCCCCGAGGCCCCGGGGCCAGGGCAGCACTAAAAGCCTCCTCCACCTGCTCGGAGCTCCCGAGCGGCCTTGCAAGCTCCAGCTCGTCACCGTGTGAGGACAGGTGCTGGTGACAAGGTGTACAAGGAAAGCCTCTAATGTGAAAGAGATTTACAAGGAAAAAAAGAAATAGGAAAAGCAGTTTTAATAAACCACAGAGAAAAGAAAGCTTTAAAAATATATACTAATGTACTAAGAAAGATAAGAAAAGATAATATACTCAGAAAGATAAGACATTGAATCCATGAATTAAGAACAGGATGTTACATAAAATAAACAAAAAATGTCACCTGGAACTTAAAAACGAGATAGCAAAAGTGATAAGCTTAATTAAAAAGAGTCAGAAGATAAAGACTGAGAAGTTTTCTCAGAAAGTAAAGTCAAACAAACAAAAAAGCAACCACAATAGAAAAGTAGGCAAAACAAAACACACAAAAAAGAAAACACCAAAAAACAGTTCGAGAGAATCTTCCAGACCCATCAAGTGCTCACCATAAATGCTAAAAGCAGACCCACACTAGGGCACATTGATTTGTCATTCCAGAATCCTGCAAAGAGCGTATTCTGTAAGTTTCCGGGAAGAAAAAGACAGATGACCTTCAAAGGGAAAGGTGATCAAAATGGCTTCTGAGTTTGCTAGGAGAACACTGAAAGCTAGACCGCAATGGAGCAATGCCTTCAAAAGTCTGAAGAAAAATGATTTCTAGCTTAGAATTCTGTATGTACCCCAATAATCAAGTGAGAAAGGACAATAAGAACATTTCCAGATACGCATGACCTCAAAAACTTCACCACCCAAGCTCCCTTTGCTCAGCAATCCACTGGAGCATGGTTTCTACCTAAGGGGAGATAAATCAAACAGAAAGATGTAAGATTTACAAGGACAACAAATCTGACATAAGAACAAAGGCGAAGGAAATTACTCAAAAACCGTGGGAGGAGGAACCCCCAGGGTGGCACCCACGTGCAGACCTCAAAGGCACGCAGGCCAGATTAAAACTCAGAGACAGATATATCAGCACCATGTCCACGTACCAACTGTGACCGAAAGGACCAGAGAGAAGTGAGGGAAAGACCTGAAGTCTATGAAGAGGGAATCGCACCGAGAAGAAAAGCAAAGGAAGCCTCAAGAGGGCACGGCTGGCTGCGTGTGGCAGGCCTGGGGCCCTATCACACCGGAGAGGGGCAGGGGGCCTGCAGGCAAAGCTGAAACAGCGGCCGCCCAAACATGCTCTGTGCGGTACAGCAGCCACTAGTCACTCAACGCTGCCGAGAGCGCTGGGGGCACGGCCAGTCTGAACATAGACGCTGCATAAAGCATGAAACACATGTCAGGTGCTGACGACTCAGTGCTAAAAAAAGAAAGTAAAATGTCTCAGATATTCTAAATATTGTTTGTTGAAATGACACATTGAACATACTGGGTTAAATCAAATATATTCATCTCATTTGCTTCTTTTTCATGGTGACTACTAGAAATGGTAAGATTACATACAAGGTCTGTCTGTAAAAAAGTTCAGCCATTGTTAGTGTAAGGAAAACGGTTTGCGTAATATTGATGTAACCTGGCAGCCAAGGAGAGGGGACTGGAATACACAGGCATGAACAACGACGACTTCACTGTACTAGTCAGTGGGGGCGGTAGACACTGTTGAGTGAGTGTGAGTACTGTGTGGCCGTCACATTCAAAATGACTGAGTGAGCAGAGCAATGAATTTGCATTGAATTTTGTTAAACTTGAACATTCCTCTGTGGAAACTATTCAGATTCAAAAGGCTGTGGCTATGGGCAACTGGTGACTGGCTGCTTCATCACAACAATGCGCCTGTTCAATGATCACATCTCGTGCAGAGTTTTGGCGTCAAATAACATCAAATTGCCCAGGAGACTCGGCCTCTTTACAGCCCAGATTTGGTGCCCTGACTTCTGGGTTTTCCCAAAACTAAAATCACCTTTGAAAGAGAAGAGATTTCAGACCATCAGCGAGGTTTAGGAAAATACAGTGGGGCAGCTGATGGTGACTGGGAGAACTGAGTGAGGTCTCAAGGTGCCTACTTTGAAGGGGACAGAGGCAGCACTGTCCTATGTATAATGTTTCTTGTATCTTCTTCAATAAATGTCTCTATTTTTCATATTGCATGGCCGGATACCTTCTGGACAGACCTCACAGAAGGGCTGCATTGTATTTCTATTACACAGCTCTAAGTGACCTTGTGGGAAATTGTTCCGAGAGGCTACCAGAAGGTCTGGGAAGAATTAGCAATGGGTGGAAAAATAGAAAACTAATGCAAATGAAAAGCACAAGGCAGTTATTTAATGCAGCAAAATTCTCCACAAGGAAGCACGATGGCACAACACTCCCTGTGGCTGCTGCAGGCGAGTGACGTCGTACTGCTGGTTTTACTAGACACTGCACTGGACTGGGAGGGTGGCTGTTTCAGAAAAGACAATTTACTTTAGCAAAGGCCTAGATTAGTGACTCAAACCCGTTCCTTAGAGATGTGGATCCAATTGAGCACCGGGAGTCGGAAACGGTCCTGCGGGGAAAAGAGACTGGGGAAGGGCCTGAGGGGTGGGCAAGCCAGTACCTGGATCTTATTACAAACCTGTTCTGGTGCTGTTTGTCTTCTTAAGCCATGTGTGTACTTAACTTGGATTAAACAGTTTTAAAAAATGTCCACATCCTACAGTTCTATTTATTTAAAAACCTACAAAATGGCTGGGAGGAGTATTTTACTCATGCTAGAGATAAGGCAATAATTTAATGGCTTGATGATAGATTATAAACCTATCTCAGTTTAAACAAATTAATCTATAGTAACAGATACATCACATCTTTTATAGATAAGAGTAAGCTTTCAGGGAAATGCCACAGGACACAGGACATAACTTTAAGGAATGAAAAATCAAGTCTTTAGCCGGTTGTTCTACATATTACTTGGAAACATTTAGCGATAGATACAAATTCTGCCTCGTGAATCTGTCAGTCCAGCTGGTGTGACTGGATAACGATGGAAGAAATAATTAGCGATGTGGATATTCTATCACATACTAAGTAAACAAGCACCCAAATATCCATAGTAGAGTGCAAGTGATTCGATTCAGCCAGAGGACTATTAATATGCACTTTCACAGTGCTGCAGAGAGAAAGTAAAACTTGGATAGGTCACTTAATAAAGAGAAAATCTAAGAGGTGTTTACACAATAGTTTTTTAAATATAGATTTAAAAATTGAGGTATACTCGGAGTAAAATGCACACATATTAAGTATGTAGTTCAGTAAGTTTTTCTAATTAACTCTGAGGTATAATTTACAAATAATAAAATATACCCTTTTAAGTGTTTCTCTATTTTAGAATGGCCTACAGGAAATACATGCTGGCTCTGAATGCAAGTAGTTACATTTCATTTAGTTAAAAAAAAAAAAAAAAAGCCAGAATTTTAGTCTTAAAATTGAGGAGTGACAAACTATCTTTAAAATTAAAGGGAATTACCACCCTGACTGGTGTGGCTCACTGGACTGAGTGCCAGCCTCTAAACTGTAAGGCTGGCGGTTTGATTCCCGGTCAGAACACAAGCCTGGGTATGCGGGCCAGGTCCCCGTCAGGGGGTGAACAAGAGGCAACCAGTTGATGTTTCTCTCCTTCTCTTTCTCCTTCCCTCCTCCTCTCTCTGAAAATAAATTTTAAAAATCTTAAACAAAGGTAATTACCAATAGTGGTTTAGAAGAAAGTAAGTAAACTACAACGCCATAATATT